GGCGAGCGGAGGGAGAGAGGAGACGCGAGAGTGTGCACACGAGAGTGTCTCAGAGGTGTCGGCGCGCACGAGCGACATCAGGAGGATGACGTCGACGCCGGCGGCGAGGATGGCGTGGGAGTACTCGATCTGGTGGGAGGGGTACTCGAAGAACTCGAGGTTGATGGCGACGAGGGTCGACGCGACGAGGGCGCCGGCGACGTTGAGCGAGATCATGATCTTGAGGAGGTTCGGGTAGGCGTAGATCTGTGTGTGCGGTTTTGAGGGCCGTGAGGGGCGGTGACGCAAGCAGAAGGGGGGCGGGCGCGCCCCTCGCCTGCGACACATTTCGGGGCGAGTAACGAATCGCGATCACCTCCGTCACCGAGAAGGCGAAGGTGCCCCAGAACTCCAGGTTGTGGAAGACGGAACGGGGCGTTGCCTCGCAGTCCCGGTCGTCTTCGTCCACGCACGGCCGATCGGGGTAGGAGAGAAGAACGATGAGCACGAGCGAAAGAGCTGCGTACGAAAGGGACATTAGGGCCAACAGCTGGTTCACAACGCTCTTGTGCTGGAGGCCGGCGATGAGAGGGACCAAAAGGACGTTCGTCTCGTTCCGCAACTCGACATCTTGCATAGCGTGCGCCTCATTCTTGACGCCCAAGGCAGCGCTCGCGCGCTGCTGGAGCGAGCCCATCTGGCCCTTCGTCATGGCGGAGGGAAGGAGGCGGGCGAGTTCCTGGTGATGGTCGAGACAGGCACCAGAAGAGGCACGGCCTCAGCACCCCTGCAAATGCGGCGGCTCAGAGCATTTTCTTTTTTCTAACGTTCCCTCCAAACGTTTCCTATTTTAAACTGCGGAGACCCTGCTTGCACCCCCTCTCCCTCCCTCCCGCGGACAAAAGCGGGGCCAAATACCGTATCAAGTACCGTACTCATGGGGCGGCCGCCCGCGGCAGCCTCCACGAACGTCAGTGCGTACGGTACGTACGGTGCGCGAGGTACGTACGTAGCACACGTCTTGCTGCAGCGCTGGATAGTGGTACCCTCGAACGCCAATGCGCAATGGCTAAGCTTCGAGGTAGGAGAGCTTGCACAGCTTCTTCTTAGGAGAGCTTCTCGAGCAGGAAGGCGGACATGAAGCCGAGGAAGAAGCAGAGGTCGACGTACCAGACGTGCTCCTCCTCCTGCCCCTCGTGCGCCTTAGTCGGGTGGATCGATGAATGAATGATTGAGAGGGTACCGCGGCTCACCTCGGGTCATCTCCGCGCGCCTCCAGCAGCAGCTCCTCCGTCACGAGGTAGAGCAGCGCGGCGATGCCGAACGAGACAAGTGCCGTGTGCAGGGCGGGAGAGCTGGCGACGGCGGCGGCCACCGCGGCGCCAACCCCTGCGCCGGCGGCGAGGGCGGCGGGGGCGCCGAGCAGCACGAGTGCGGCCGAGCAAAGCGGCTGCCTGCGCATGACCGCCGCGAGAGTGAGCGCGAGGAAGCCCATCTCGATGGTGAGCGCGACAGCCATGACGAACCCCGCGCTCGCTCCCGCAGCAGAGGAGAGGCCGATGAGCAGTCCGTCGACGCCGCTGTCGACGAGTACGGCGACGGTGAAGGCGACCGGGAAGGCGGGCGCCTTGCGCGCGGAAATCGACTTCTCGGCGAATGCAATCTTGGAGCCAAGCGAGGTGCGGCCGCCGCCGCTCTTGCGGCCCTCGGGCAGCAGCGCGCTCGAGCGGCGGTCGTCAGCTCCGCCGGCTCCGTCGTCATCTCCCTCGGGGAAGAGTTTGGCGAGGATCAGGAAGAGAGCCACGCCCGCCGCGAAACCGCTGACAATGCCAACGACGTTGGCGAGGTCGGCCGGCGCCTCGTTGATAATTGGTACGAGCTCGACAGCGACGGCGGAGAGGACGATGCCAGCGGCGAGGTGCTGGAAGGCGCTCATCATCACCTTTGGGACGTGGACCACGTACACGAGCGCGCTCATCACGAGCATCGCCTTGGACGAGCATCGGCCTCTCTCAGTGCACACGCCACAGTACCAGCTCGCGAAGCGGCGAGAGGAGACGTGAGAGGCTGCAGCGCACCACGCATGGGATAGCCGCGAGGTGGAGCGCCGCGACGACAGTTGATCCCAGGGACGGCATGATGGCGAGCGTTGATGGCGCCAGTAGGCCGAATCAGGCCCCGTGCCAGTGTTGTGCCAGTGTCGTGCGAGCGAGCTTTTGTCGTTCCCCCTTTGGCCGCTTTGTGTATCTCGAGACCTCGAGAGAAGGCCGCCCGCCGAGGGCCCAAGTCAAGAATTGGCTTTTTTTGGCGGGCAAGTTCCCCCTTTTCTTCAGACTCTCCGAGGGGGGCGTTGCAGGGCGCAGGGCGTGTCACTGTTGTGCGAATTCGGGCCCGGGGCGGAGCTTGTGGTTGTGCGGTGCAGAGGCTGTACCTGTCAGGAGTTCACCCTCGGGTATGTTCGTAAGAGCTACATACACTGAAAATGAACTCGGGGGCGCAGAGTTTATGTAGAGAGGTCAATCACAGTCTGGCCAGCGACTGGACTCCACAGGCGGTAGAGCTCTATGGGGGTTCCGTGTATCGCCAGTGTATCGCGCGCTCAAGGAACGAAAAACATCTTACCTTATATTTTCCCGTGTCCGGATTTCCGTTTCGGGCGACGGCACACTCACCGAGCTCTCCGGCGGGGAATCATGTCGGCGAAGGCGGGCTCTGGCGTCTCGGTGATGCGCTCCGATCCCGACGCGTCGACCTCGACGGAGGTGGACGCGCACGAGGCGCAGTGGCGGGCCGGCGTCAACCGCCAAGCACGTCCAGACGCCCCCTCGCAAAGGCGGGCGTCGTCATTGGGTGCTGCAGCCAAGCGGCGGCGTACACTGAAAAAGTTGAAACGGCGCCGCCGCAAGCCAAGCCCGAATGGCCGACCCAATCGCCGCGCCATGGATCACGAACACGCCGCGATGGAACATGAAGCTGCTCGACGTGAAGCCACAACGCTTTCACACGCGCTTCCTCGAGCAGGACGCCGGGCTCTCGAGGAGAACCTCCAGGGTCGATGAGGTTGTCTTTGGGCGCGACATTGACTACGCGACTCGCGAGAGGGGAGGCACGCTGGCCACTAACGTGCGCCGCGCATCCGCGTTTCGTGGAGCGGGCGGGCTCACGTCGTTGGAGTACTCTGAGCGCGTACATGAGTCGGGCCACCGGTTCGAGTCGAGGCGCGGCATCGCAAGGCTCGCCGTCGGTCGGCGGAGCTCGGAGGGAATCATGACTTGGGCCGAGCAGGAGGAGAGAGTAGAGGAGGCGCGCAGCCCGAGGCACCAACCGGGACATGCGCCGACGGACACTGCGCCGGGCGCGGTCACACTGAGCCTGCCCTCGATGAGAGGCTCCGTCCACCGTGAGCGGCCCGTGGCCTGTGCAAACAACCGTTCGCCAATCAGCGACCTGACGGAGGTTGCGAGCGGGAAGCGGACGGAAGCGTGCATGAGCCAGCAGGTGTCGACGCTGGGCGAGCTGCTTGTATTCTCGCCGAGAGAGCCCGTCGACGCTGGCTCGCCCCAGGCGAGCCCTCAGCGGCACCTCCGCCACCACCCATCGTTCCGGGACGCCTTTGGGAGAACCTCGAGCGAGGAGGCGACGCGGTACAGCGAGCGGCACAGCTTCGATGAAGCGCAGTTCAAGGGCAAGCGACGGATATCTCTCGACGCGCTGCACAGCGAGCACGCTGCGGCGCTCGCCCAGACGCCGCGAGGAGCAGCCGCTCCTACTCCACGGGGCGCGCCTCCCTTGCACCGGGCAGGGACGATGACCAAGATGAGCCCAGAGGTGGACATCGCCCCGGCGCACACGTGGGCACAACGCCCCGGCGCTCACGGCGGCCTCCCGGATGGACAGTAACGCACACCGATCTTGCATGCGGGAAGAAGACTTTTTTCCTCCCTCCCTCCCCCCCCCCCCCTCTCTCTCTGTGTTTCCCTCTCCCTCTGAGACATGGAGCATGCAGTTTGCACTCTTCATGGAGTTACAAACAGACCCTCTCTGCACACACAGTGCACTCTTGGGTGGGATTCTGTTCCCGCACTTGTGTACCTGTATTGTGCATTATGTTGGCTCTTTTGGGGTCTGTTCTACCTAGCTTTGGGCGGCGAGCGCTCGCATTCTAAGTATGCAGAATCTACATCCTGCACCAAGATGCAGACGAATTTTACACAACGTGCAGAAGAATTTTTCAACGTGCCAAGCAGGTGGCACGCGGCTGTGTTGCTCGCTTGCCGGTCCGGCGCGGGCTCGCGCGGGACAAGTAGACGGGACAAGGCTGCGGCAGCGGACGCGTCTAATGGCTCCTCGATGGCAGTGGCCGCACCTGCGAGAGAGAAGCAGGCGGTGCGAGGCCGAGGGGGGGACACAGCCGGTCGGGCGGGTGGTGAGCGAGGGCGCGTCGCTCGGCGGGAGCGGTGTGGGCTCGGCGAGTTTCTGGAAGTTTTTCTTTGAGCTAGCCTTCGAGAAGATGAATGACGATGTTTATGAACAAACGCAAGGAGGACATTCATGGGGTCCCGTACCATGCGGAATCGACCCTATCCAGTGCTCAAGTGCTCAAGGAGGACACACGCCACCCAGCGGCCAAAGGATATCCACCTCGAGAACCTCGAAGAGAGGACACACGCGGTGTGCGTTAGTTAGGGCTTACGACACCTCGACACACGACACGGTTCGGGCGCAAGCGGACGGACTCCTAGCCGGATAGGGGGTCTGTCCACACTGGCTGGCCCCTCCCAGAGTGCCAGCCAGCGCTGGCACGATTAGTGCCTAAGGTAAACTGGTCCTCAACGCGACCAACAATGGCCGACGACGACCTCGCCCGCCGCCTGCGCGTGCTGAAGGGCTCGCCCGTGGAGCTTCCGACCGACGAGGCTCTGGCGGCGCGGCTTCAAGCCATGAAGGGCACCGCTGCGCCCGTCTCCGACGAGGCTCTCGCCGCGAGGCTCCAGAGTCTCGGAGGCGCGGACCTGTCCACGCTGGGACCAAAGCCCGGTGCGGTGCGACCCGACGCAAAGGACGGCGTGGACGGCGATGTGAGGCGCGGGTCCGACCGCAAGCTCGGCGGCGTGATGGACGCCTTTCTCAGCGGCGGCACGGGAGAGGCGGGCGGCGCCGATGTCGACGAGGTGGAGCTGCTGCTGCAGATGAATGCGGACCGAGCGCGGCTGCAAGGCAAAGCCGGCTCGGACGCGTCGGCGCTGCCGCAGGCCGGCGCCAGCGACGAAGTCGAGCGACTGCTGCAGATGAGTCGGGACGCGGTCAGCCTGGCGGGCAGTACGGCAGCGAGCGCGCAGGACGCCGAGGCGGAGCTGCTCATGCGCGCTGCGGCGGAGGGCGGCGGCGGAGGAGGCAGCGGTGGAGGCAGCAGCAGCGGGCCGCTCGGCAGCCGCGGCGCTCAGGAGCGTGCGGCTCGCGAGGCGGCGCAGCTTGGGTCAGGGGGTGCTGCGGAGATGCTGCGCGAGGCGAGGGCGGCGACGAAGCATGCTGCACCGCTGCCGGCGGGCGGAAGGCTAGGCTGGCTGCCGACGCGCCGCCGGGGGGGTGCCCAAACCTCTCTGCCCGCCGCCTCTCTTCCCGCGTGGGGGGTCGACGGCGACGGCGGCGACGGCGGCGGCGAGTCGGACGTGGACGAGGACGAGGTGGCCGAGGCGGAGAGACTGCTCGAGGAGCTCATGGCGGCCGGGCAGGTGTCGGGCCGGGAGGAGGAGGAGGAGGCGGCGGCGGCGGCGGCGGCGGCGGCGCCTCTCTTCCCGTCGGCGCCGTCTGCTCCCGCGGCGCCCTCTGGGCGAAATGCTACGGCCCTCCCGGCGGCGCCGCAGCACAAGCCGCAGCAGCCGCCCGCCTCGCGGCCGGCTGCGCCACCCCGCCCTCCGAGCCCCGCCGAGGGGGAGATGGAGCGCTGGTGCGTCGTCTGCACCCTCCCACTCCACGTTTTCTGTTCCCGACCACCCCCACTACTCTGTCTCCTCCAGGCGCGTCCTCTGCGCCGGTCCTTTGGCCCGCTCCTCCTGCTACGGCTCACAGCGCCCGTCTTTCGCAGGTGCGTCATCTGCAACGACGACGCGGTCCTGTGGTGCAACGATTGCGACGGCGACGCGTACTGCCGCCGATGCTTCCGGGAGGGCCACAGGGACGAGGACATGCGCGCGCACAAGACGGTGCCGATCCGGCGGTGAGAGTGGCGGGTAGGGCCAAGGCGGCGCTCTGTGCGCGCGTGTCTCTTGTCTTGGGATCAAAAGTGTGCCAAAGTGTTTGACTAGTTGCAAAAAGTCTCGCGTGGGAAACCCACCGAAAACTGCGAAAAACGCTGTTCTCGGGTTCATTGGCCTCTTTTGTAGGGAAGAATTTTGATACCCGTCAAGACGCCTGCTGGGGGCAGCTTCGTAACGAAGCCGTCTGGGGGCCAGCTTCGTAACGAAGCCGTCTGCTCCCCTTGGAGCGGCCGCTCACTGCTCGGTACCCCCCCTGCACATCTAAAGCCATCCCTGCTGCTAGGGGGGGGGGTCTGACCCCCCCAGCAGCAGAGCGCTGCTGCTGGGGGGGGGGTCCGGACTAGGGTTGCCTAACGTTAAGAGCTGAACAGTGTTGCTAGTGTTAACAGTAACAACAGAACAACAGTGGGCCCCCCCAACAACAGTAGCTAACGTTAGGCCGACTGAACAACAGTAAGGAAGGCCTGGCAGTGACCCACGACGATCTCTAGTGTCCAGTGCGGGTAATACCCGAAAATACCCGGAAAATTTGCGGCCTCGCAGTAGCCTTGCCGGGCTACCCCCAGCGAAAGATAACTTCAACAATCACTTCAACACTGGCGATACGGCAACCGCTACACGCGCATAGGTCATACGCAACACGTGGGCAGCCTCCCCCCCCGTGAAAAGTCCATGAGTCGCCGTCAGGCCGTCGGACTGGGCGCCACTCACTGGTGTGCCGGCAGTGATTCCCGCAAGTCGCCTTGGTGCTCGCGATAGCCCTCGCCGCCCCTCACTTCGCCCCCGGGCCAAGCCTCCGGTGCCGTGTCTACCCCACAGCCCCCGATTTGGACGCCTGAGGCTCGGCTGTGTCCGGGTGTGCATGAAAAACGAGAAAACAGGCCTTTTTGGGAAAGCCGACTTTGCCCCTTAACGAACGGGTATTTTGCTCGGTCAATCATGTATAGTCCGTCTCGATCTGGAGGAGATGAGTCATACAGCCGCCCTCCGACCCCATAGCTGCAGAACGCATAACAGCCATAACACCCATAACATGTGCATGCACATGTGCATGTGATGGGCTGCTATGCCCAGAGAGCCATAACACCACTTACATACGGCTTTATTTAGGCTTTATAACTTGTGCCCCCGCCGGGGTCCGAACCGCGAGCGGCGAGGCCGAGGGGTGCTGGTATGAGCCCATCGATCTGAGCCCGACCGAGGTCGTAGTGCGCTTGCGTTCGGTCGGCGGTTAGTGGTGCACTAACCCCGAGAACCCCTCGCTCGGACGGAGTCGCTCCTCATCGCAAACCCCGTCAGCAGTCCTCCTTCGGGAATGTTCGTAAGGCTCACTGAAAATCAAACCCTGTCAGCAGTCACCTTCGGGTATGCTCGTAAGAGCTACATACACTGAAAATGCGCCTGCGGGCCGACCCTCACAGATCACAGATCACAGGGGGACGTACGTCGCCGACCGACAGTTCGACAAAGGAAGCTCACCGCGAAAGCTGGACAGCGCGCCGAGCTGCGAGGCGGAAGCCATGGCCAAGTCGGCGCCCTGCGTGAGCGCGCCCAGCGGGCTCAGGATGTACGAGAACGCCAGCCTCGCCGACCTCGCCCTGCCCGCGGGCATTGTCCTCGTCGCCGCCACGCTCGCGCGGATGATTGCAATGCGGCTCGTGCTGGAGCCGCTTGCAGTGTGGGCGGTGGGGGAGGGGTCGAACATGGAGTTTACACGCACCAAGTTTGTGCAGGCCGCGTGGCGCACCATCCTTTACGCGACGGCGTGCACCCTCGCTGTCAAGGTGATGTTTCTTACTGAGGAGCTGCCTTGGATCTACGACTCGAGTCTCTTCTGGATTGACTGGCCAAACCACGAGCTGACGGAGGGAATGGCATCGGTGTACGCGCTGTACGCGGGTTTCTACGTGCATCAGCTGGTGTACCTCTTCCTCGACGTCAAGACCTCTGACTTTGTCGCCCTGCTTGTGCACCACATCATCACGCTCGGGCTCGTCGTGTCGTCCTTTGTGATGAAGGTGAGGCAACACGGCGAGACCACACGCGACGGCGAGACCACACACACACACACGCGCGCGCGCGCGCACACACACACACACACACACACACACACACACACACACACACACACACACACACACACACACACACACACACACACACACACACACACACACACACACACACACACACACACACTTCCGTCGACGTTAGAAGCACTGCACTCGACTGAGCGCCCCCACCCCTCCGTTTCCCCGCCGTCGACTCCCCGCATTGGGCCCAAGAGCAGGGGCCGCGCGCCGAGAGCCCTTCCCTCACTTGCGCCGTGCCCCGCCTGCAGTTCACGCGCGTGGGCCTCTTTGTGATGCTGCTGCACGACGTCTCGGACGTCTTCCTCGAGTCCGCAAAGTGTTTCAACTACATGAAAGACGGCCCACGCCACTGGCTGCACAAGGGGGCAGACGTCTGCTTTGTCGTCTTTGCGATTTCCTTCTTTTCGCTGCGGCTGTACATCTATCCTGTGCGCGTCCTGTGGCCGGTGGCCAGTCCAGACGGCGTCTGCCAGTATGCCACTTGCGCCAGCACCGAGCTGGGAGGTGCGACATGGGACCACTGCGCTGTGAAGCCGGCGTACGCGGCTTTCACGGGGCTGCTGGGCGGGCTGCAGCTTCTGCAGGTGTTCTGGGGATGGAAGGTGCTCATGGTGGTCTGGACCATTCTAAGTGGCAAGGAGCTGGAGGTCTCGAGAAGGAGATGCTCGAGACACCCACGAGCGATGGCCGAAACATACCTGAACCCATTAGTCAACACATGCTTCCGTATCCATGGCCGCACCAAGTCGCACGGGTGGCTGTCACAGCCTCCTGAGAAGCCCTCCCCCCTCGCTATGTAGGATCCGCGCGACGACGCGTCGGAGGAGGACTCCAAGCGTCGTTCGAGCCGCGAGTTGGACCCGTCGTCGAGGCGCTCGGAGGAGGATTGACCGAGACTCGGAAATGGCTTCCTTTGGAGAGCGCCGCTCGATGGGGAGGGGGGTATGTGGGTGACAGCGCTCCCACAGTGCTCGAGAGATCGCCATCTTCGAGGTTGCATCTTGCGGGGTTATGCTGCGATGTGGACAGTAGGTCGTGTACGAATAAAACGCACAGATCACTTAGGGCCTGTGGAATGCATCTGCAGCGGCCAACTCGGCGTTCAGGGCGGTTATATTACTGTGAAGGGGTTTTTCTCTCTTTGTGCACTGCGGGCCTGGTGCACTTTCAATGCCGTGGCGCTCCTGCCCGTGTCCGGGCGTGGAGATGCGAGGGTCGCCCCCCCTTGCGCACCACTTTGTGTGTGTTGAGACGTTTACCTTAACACCTTACCTTACCTTAGCACTTCTACCGGATGGCTACTGCGGTACTGACCTGCACTCTACGCGGCAACCAACCGTGCATTCGTCTCCTTCTCCCCCGGCCCGCCTCCGCTCCGGCCCTTACCCGCATCGTTCTGACAAGCGCACCTCCTTACCAGGCAGCTTACTTGGCCGCCTTGGTCACCGGCTGCAGAAAGATTTTGAAGAGGGCGCCACCGACGAGCCCACCAATGAGGGGGCCAGCGATCGGAATCCAGAAGTAGGACGTGCCCGTGAAGCCCGCCTGGCGGAAGAGGAGGGCTGGGGTCAAACGAGGGCGTATCAAGGGTAGGCGGGTTTGGGGTGTGCCTAAGGGTTACTCGGTGTCGAGGGCGAATCCTACTCATCACCGTAGCCAACGCGTCCTCATCGCCAGTGAACGTCAGGAGGCCCCAGTAGGCGATGCGCGGCCCCAGATCGCGCGCCGGATTCATCGCGTACCCCGTGAGCACGCCGAACGAGTTGCCGATCGAGTAGACCCCGGTGCCGACCCACGCGGCAACCATGGGCTTGTAGGCAGGCGTGCTGCCAGTCGTGCAACTGCAGATGACAATGAGGAGGAGGGCGGTGGCGGTGACCTCTGTCGCGAGCGCGTTGAGCGTGGGGAGCGACGAGGAGGTGCAGTAGTAGTTGGTCAGGTACTTCGATTCGTCGTCGGTGCCGAGGTAAGGCAGCACAAAGTTGGCCATCACCACGATCGCGCCGAGGAAGCCTCCGATCGTTTGCGCAATGATGTACGGCAGGACCTTGCAGATGGGGAAGCCGCCAAAAACAGCCGCGAAGAGCGTGACCGCCGGGTTCAGCTGCGCACCCGTGATGTCGAAGGTCGCCAGCACTGCAAGAGCGACACCCATACCCCAAATCTGGTTCATGTATGCACCTTGCGCCCACGCACCTTCGTCGACGGAAGCACCCTTCACATCCCCCGTCGCGACGACGCCGGCGCCGAATGCGATGATGAGGAACACCCCAAACGCCTCCGCCGCCAGCTCCTGGCAGATACCCCTCGGCCCCACCGTCTCCATCTCTTCGTCCTGTTTGTGTCGCTATCCGCAACTGTCGCCGATTATGACCCCGCCGTCGGCCGATGTCGTGGTTGGCTATTATGGCGGTGCCCCTCGAGGTGCCAGCGGCGTGTGAACAGTTCCGCAGGCCTACAGGTGAACGGAGCACAGATTTTACGGTCTGGTCGACCACAATTTGCGACTGGGCACCCAATAACCGAACAGGGGTCAGGGCGAGCCGCGCGGATCCGGCAGCGGCACCCGCACCACCAGCACACCCGCCCACGCACCACAAGGGGTCTTTTTCCATCCGCCCCACTCAATCTAGTCACGCTTCAGTACCCATCTCACGAGCCAGTCGCGTGTTGAACTGTACACCATCTCTCACTCCGCTCCACTCGCCGTACATGAGCGCCTCGACTGCGCTCGTACTGCCCTGGCGCGCTGCCCTCTCATACCACCCGAGGGCCGCCGCCTCGTCCCGCTCGCCGAACTTGCCGTTCGCCTCGCACCACCCGAGGTGCGCCATCGCCGCGGGCAGGCCTGCCTCCGCCGCCGCCTACGGTCAACATGCGGCCCCCACGACGGTCGGCGCTCTCCCGGCGCGAGGGGAAGACGAGGCGGCGCCACGACTCGCCGTCACGAGGCGCCGGCTCTCGACGACGGAGCGGGGGACGACCCCCTCCTCGCCCCGCCAGTAGAGCAGGCCGAGCTCCAGCTGAGAGAGCGCGTGGCCCTGCGCGGCGGCGCGGCGCCAGTACTCGGCCGCGGCGCCGACGTCCCTCGCCGCACCGCCGCTCCCGGATCGGAGGGCTGCACCGTGTAGAAATTGCGCGTAGGCGTTGCCTCCGTCGGCAGCGGCGCGGAGCCACGGCGTCGCGCGCGCGCGGACACTCTCGGCCGAGTCGGAGAGCCACAACACGAGCGAGTAGCGGTCTCCGCCTGTAGCGATCACTCGCACACCTCACCGCCCCCCCGCCTGTGTGAGGCACAGCGGTGGGGAGCGAGCGGCGGCCGGAGGCGTCCACGCCATGCATCACGTCGAAGCGGTGCAGGAGGGCGTCGCCCGCCTGTCCCGCGCCGCGAGAGGGGCGTGAAGAGCGCGAGAGGGGCGTGAAGAGCTCAGCCTCGAGGCGGTAGCGGGGGCAAGGGCGGGGGGGGGGGGGGGGAGGGGGCTCGCAGGTGGGGCCTCGCCTGCATGCCTGGCTCGACGAGCAGGCGCGAGGAGCGGTCCGCGCCCGGCTGCAGGAACAGGCCTCCCTCGTACTCGCCTGCGAGACACGAGGGGAGCTGTCCAGACGAGACCGGTCTGTGGGGAGAGGCCGCTGCCCGCACTCGCCCGGGTTGAGAGGCAGGATCACCGTCGCGAAGGAGGTGACGTCGAAGTGCGGGGCGAGGGCCTGCCTCCGGTCCTCCTGCACAGTAACGAGAGCTGCTCAGGCGGAGCTCGAGTGCGGGGCGAGGACTGCCTCCTGCCCCTCCTCGCGGTAGGCGCGCAGCAGGGCGTCCGCCACCACGACCCCCTCGCCGCCGCCGCCGCCGTAGTCCACCCTCTGGCGCACGTAGGGGAGAATGCGGCTCTCGAGGGCGGGCTGCAGCAGCCGGTGCAGCTCCTACTCCGCGTCTCGAGGTCTCGAGGGCGGGCTGCAGCAGCCGGTGCAGCTCCTACTCCGTGTCGTAGACGGGCGCGCGTGGCGGACACGGGCACCCGGGTGTCGCGCAGTCCGCCCTGGCAGGGTCGGCTGCTCGAGGCGTCTGGGAAGGGGCTGGCGGCGGAGAGGGAGGACAGTGGAGTGAGGCGGGTGGGATAGCGCTATCTCACGGCGCCTCGCAGACGACGCGGCCGTCCTCCACCACCACCCGAGCATGTGCCGCCTATGGATGTGGCGTCGAACCCGCTTTCGGATCCGCCCCGCGACCTTTAACGCCACCCAAAATGCGGCCCGCCTCGGCAGCCGAGCCGCTTCCCAGCGCGTCGAAGGCGGAGCGCAGCGCGCTTACTTCGCATCTGGAGAGCAGGCCCTTTGCCAGATGCACCTCGCGCGGAGGTGCGTGCGGCGCCGCCGGGTCGGAAATCTCCGCCGTCAGGTCCCGCTCTCCAAGGTCGGTGGTGGCATGCCGACTGCGTCGCCACGCCACGGGCCTGCTCACGACCGGATCCAGCTCGAAGGGCCTGACAGCGTCCTCGCCAGCCATTAGGGCGATGAACTTTGACGGCGGCTCCGCAGTCATGCGGATAAGGCAGGTCGGTGGCGAAGGGGGGCAGGCAAGTCGAAGGCGTGGAGCCAGACGCATTGCGAGCATGCACACAGAGAGTGGCAGCATTCGTCAGGCAGTCGAATCGAGTCGAAACACACGCCCTCTCCCAGCCTGGCCTCAGTACACGAGGAGACGTTTTTCTCAATTACAAGGCGAGGTGGTCAACGGGCGTTCGACCACACCACCGGCCAAGGCTACGTCAAGTCACAGCGTGGTCACTACCATGATGGGATCTTCACCAAACGAAACAAGTTCAACCTGCTTCTCCACGCACCACACCACGAGACATTCCTCATTCATTCGTTCGGCGGCGGCTTCTCGCCGCCTGCAGTTGCAAAGATCAACCGCCTTGCGCGCAAGGCTCAACGCTCGGGCGTTGACCGCACCGCGTACCCTCCCCACTCCCGCCTCTCATTTGTGTCACACCACGCGGAACGCATCTCCATCCATCGCTTCGGTGAAGGGGGTGAATGAACCGCGCCATCCTCGATCGCCGTGCAAAGCTCGCTTCCGAGCTCTCACGCCGCGCGTAGGGCCCTTAGGGGCCTAGAGAACACAACCCCCTCTCCCTTTTCTCCCAGTAAACGCAGTTCCCGGTAACGCTACATTTCGTAACGATGGTCGCTAAACGACACGCTATTGGCCATCTGCCTCCTGCAGCCTCTGTTGGGGCGGAATGCGCGGGGTTTTCGGCGCGATGCATCCGGCTAGTACACGGTACTGCTCTGCCGCAAACTCTCCTGCGCTCGCGTGACGTGTGGGGCGCACGCACTGCGCTCGAAAGTCGCGATTTGGCAATAGGCGCTCGAGCCGGCGCGCAGTGGAGGGGGCGCCGCGCAGGGGGATCGGGGGGGTGCGAGAGGGGGCGTGGGTCGGGCGCGCACCGGCCGGCTCCGGGAGCGGCCGTCACGTCGAAGAGGGGACCTGGTGCTGCTCGAATGACGACGCATGCCGCTCTGCTGCGCCGCCGATAGCCCCTCTTCCGAGCCGGCACGTGGCGGCGAGCCGCGGCCAGTGTCGCTGGTGCGGTGGAGGCGGCAGCTTGCATCGGCCGGCAGCGGGTGCGGCCATCACGTCGATGAGGGGGGGTTGTCGGCGACTCGTGTGGCTCGAGGCCTACGCTGCGCCGCCCAAGCCCTACTGCCGATCCAGCGCCTGGCGTTTGGGGCGAGCCGCGGTCGTCGTCGCTGATCGTATATGGCGGCGGCGGCGGCGGCTCGCCCTTCCCTCCGGCCGCAATTCCGATCCCGCCGCGCTCGCGGGAGGTAGCGCGCCCACCCCGCGGCACGGCCGTGGCTGCGCATACACCTTACGCCCTTTCTCCTCAACGGCTATCCGTGCTTGCTGTGCCCCTGCGTGGTGTGTTTCAAGTTCTTACAACCCAAGGTGATAGAGGGCAAAAAGATCGATTGCGCTCTTGCCGATCCGCACCTACCTAGGCTCTTGGTTGTGGCGCCCCAGCTTTTCACAACGCTGCTGGTTGTTTCTTCTGTTGGTGTTGATCGTGTGTGCCATGCCGCCACCCTCGCCGCTCGACGTGTGGCTGCGCGTGACTCTGCCCTCCGGACGCAGATGGGCCGCCCTCTCCGACCTCTCATCGCGCGGCGTCGACCCGAGAGGCCCGGAGCTCCTCCGCCTCTTTCTGCTGCTCGAGTCGCCGTCCCGCCGCCGCACGCGCAGAGGAGGAGGAGCACCACCGCCTCGCGCACTCCGGCGCGCAGCCGCCATGGCGCTACTCGCGCTCTGCCGAGAGCGACCCGCGCTGGGCCGATCGGCGCGAGCGCAGGCCGCCATCGGACGCGGCATCGCGCTCGCTCTGCCGCCAAACGTGTCGGCGCCGCGGCTGCTGCGCGGGCTGCTCTCGCCGGACGAGTGCGCCGCTCTGCTCGCCGCGGCCGTCGCCCACGGAGAGGCGCACGGCTGGGGCTCGCTCCACCGGAAGTACCCGACGGTGGACCTGCCCGTCGCCAAGCTGCGAGGCGGCGGCGCGGTCGTCTCTGCGCTGCAGGAGCGCGCCTTCCCGGCCTTTGGGCGCTTCTTCGGGGAGGCGTACGGCCCCGCCGCTTCGCTCGTGATGCGCGACTGCTTCGTCGCAAAGTACGAGGCGGGCGGCCAGTCGGGCCTCGCGGGGCATGTCGACGCGTCTCTGCTCTCGCTGGTGATGACCCTCTCGCCGCCGGGCGAGTTTGAGGGCGGAGGGACGCACTTTGAGCACGCGGGGCGGACGCTCTCGCCGCCGCAGGGCGACGCGGTCCTCTTCCTCGGAAAGGTCTTCCACGAGGGGCGACCGATCACCCGCGGGACGCGCTTCGTCCTCGTCGCGCTCGTCGACAAGAGGGGCACTGTGGCGCCGCCGCCGCCGCGGCCGGACGAGGCGGCGGCCGGGGAGGCGGCGGACTCGGCGGAGGCGGCGGACTCGGTGGAGGGGCGGGGCTGAGCTTATACGTGTCGTGAGAGGAGATATGGATATGGGGGGTAAGGTAAGGTTAGGGTGCCCACAGCGGGACCCAAAAGAAAATAGCTTTGCGGCTCAAAAAGCGGCTAAAGGGACGCACGCCGGCACGCGCGAGAGGGCAAATCGTCTGATGTTGGAGTGTTCCAATAGGAGCGAGGCCTCCTCCGTTGGGGGGCCGAGTGACTAGGAAACGAGGGTTCCCCATTGTGTTCCCTTCGCGTGCGAGCGTGCCAGTAGGAGGCGGCGCAATATGGCCCCTATAGTACAGCCCTTGAGGAGGAGGAAGAGGCTGGCTGGCAGTGCTGTATGCTGCCGAGGGGGCAGTTTTGGCGGGGTGCTGTCCCCATCCCAGGGAGCTGCAGAACGCGTCCGCAGCCGGGACAACCCGCCCCCCGCCGAGGCCGGTCGAAGCCCACTTGAGCACAGCCAAGAGGAGTCCTCTTGGTGCTCCTGGCGGCCGTTCAAAGCTCGGGCGAGCCGACCCAGTTCAGCCCGCCCATGAGCGGGAGGAAGGGCTTGTCAGCGACGGCGCGGTCGTCCTCCTCGCAGGTCGCCCCTGTCATGGCCATGAACTCGGGGCAGCGAGACGACTGGACAGGCGTGGTGAAGTCTTTGGAGCACTGCGAGCTGAGGTACTTCTTGTACAGCTCGCAGACGTAGTTGGTCTGGAAGACTCGCAGCTTGCGGGCGGGTCGATCGCGAGCAATGTCGAAGCCGACCATGCGCCTCGGCTCAGAGACGCGGGTGGCCTTGAAGGAGCGGCAGTAGCGCGCGAAGGTGGTGTCGACTCGTCCCTTGGTCGGGCTCTGGTAGCGGACGAAGATGTCGTCGACGTAGACGACGGCGATGATGTAGCCTCCGTCATCAAAGATGATGCGGAAGAGGTTTGGGTCGGCGGCGCACTGCTCGAACCCGCACGCCTTGAGGACGGCGGTGTTCTCCTTCTGGAAGATGGCGCCACCTTGCTTGGTCCCCTCGAGGCCCTTGAGCAGACGGCACGCCTTGAATTTTGGGTCGACGAAGCCGTGGGGCTGCTCAACGTACATCTCGACATCGAGCTTGGTGGTGGAGGTGAACGCCTTGACGACGTCCCAGCGCTCGAGCTCGTCGTCGTTGGCGTTGCAGTCGGCGAGGAAGATGAGGAGCGTCTCGATCCGCAGCGTGCCGCAGTAAGTCTCGAGGTAGTCGATGCCCGGGCGTTGGCTGTACCCGCAGGCGACCCAGCGCGCCTTGAAGCGGTCGACGGAACCGTCGTCCTTGTAGAAGACACGGAAGACCCACTTGCCCTTGATGGCGCGCTTGCCGGGCGGCAGCTCGGCGACGAGCTCCCACGCACCGTTGTCCTGAGACTTGCCGACAAAGTCATCAGTCATCGCAGCTAGCCACGATTTGCCGTAGAGGGGGTGTTTGACGGCCTCCTCGGCACTCCTCGGGATTGGGACGGGTCCGATCTGAGCACTGACCTCCAGCACCTCCCCCACAGTGCCAGAACGGGGAGGACGATCATGGAGCGGTGCGCAGCGACGCCGGTGCCGGCGTTGGCGGGGAGCCAAAAGCGCCGCTCGGTGACATCTGCAGCAAGCTCCTGCCGCGCGTCGTGCGCGAGGGGCGTGTTGCCGAGGGAGGAGATGCAGCGCAAGACCTTCTCGACCATCTCAGACTCGGTGAACCGGTTGGCAGCGGGCAGCTGGTGGTTCAGGTTGTTGAGGACCTGCACGAGCCGGTTGAGCGAGTCGGCGGAGCGCCCAATCTCAACTGAGTCAAAGCTGAGGCTTGAAATCTTGTCCTTGAGGTCGTGCATGGTGAGGTCGTTGATCGGCCGGTAGCAGTGCTGGCGGAGCAGCTGCCACATCCGTCCACCGTCGCCAGCGGCCTGGTTCTGGAGCATCGTCTTTAGGTTCTGGTCGGTGACGTGCGCCGTAAGGAAGGCGGCGAGGGTTTTCTTGCGGCGGTTGGCGCGCGAGAGGAGTGCGACGCGCTGCGCGTTCGGCGGCGTGCCAGGGGGGTGCCCGCCAGCGGGCGCAGCGGCGCCAGGGAACGGGAGAGCCGCGGCCATCCCATTGAAGAAGAAGGAGGCGTCGAGCGGGTCCTGCTCGATATAGCCGTAGGGCGACTTGCCATCCGCCTCGTCGCCGAGCGAGTACTCCTCATCTTGGTGGTTGCCGAAGCAGCTTCCGAGGTAGTCCATCGCGTCGCGAACAAAGCGGTCGTAGTCGTTCGGGCTGCCGGCAAAGGGCGCGACCTTGAACTTGCGCGCGTCGAAGTCGTTGTTGACGGTGGCGGCGGAGCCGAGCATGAACGCATCGGCGATGGCGTTTTCGATGGCGTGGTTCGGGAGGAAGTTGAGCGCCGGGCGGACGTCGGAGAGGAGCTTGGAGATGCGGACGCCGAGGCCGATGATGCGGTGGCGGACTTGGTGACGGATCCACTCCACGATGTGCGTCGACCGCGTCGAGCAGCCGGCGTCGAAAGGCTTGAGAGGCTCGGGCTCAAGGATCTTGTCGACGTCGACCTCGGAGGCCTTCTTTTGCTCGAGAGCGATGGCCATGGACTCGGCGACCATCTTGGGCCAGCCACTCTCGGTCATGAAGAAACACTCGGCCGGGAGACGGGCGCGCCGAAGAGGAGGCACTTGTTTCCGACGCTGTCTCCGTTGTTCGGCTTGAGCAGGATGGAGTGCGTGGAGTCGGGCGGCATGTTGGAATACTTGTCAGACGTGATGATGTGGTTCGTGTTGAAGGTGGACTCGGCCTTGCCTTTGGCGGGGTCCTCCATGATGATGCAGGTGATGTCCAGCTGGTTGTCGGCCTTGCCGCACAACTCAGCATCCGTGTCCTCCAACCGTATCGAGCGGATGGAGTTGTCGCGCACGAGGTTGCGCGACTCGCAGACGGCCGAGGTGCCGTTGATGACGACCGAGGTGTCGTCGAGAATCTCACGCGAAGGTGCCATGTGAACGGGAGCAGTATGTAGAGTTCGATGATAAGGAATACGCTGTCGGACAGAGGAAGACGCTGTCGGACAGAGGAAGACGCTGTGTGAACTAGGAAGACGCTGATCATAGATCAGACGCCGTTCACACCGTCTCCCCAACCATCACACTCACACTGACAAGTGTGGGGAGGCAAGGCACTGTGAATCGCCTTATCTCTCACAGAGATGTCTTGTTTTTGTGAATTGATGAAGAGCAAAAAAATACAAACAAATGAATTCACAGCGATGTCGGCCCAGGAGTTCGTTGCTGCCGTCTCCGCCCTGCACTCGCCGACCGCAAGCGCCGCCGACCGACACGCGGCCAACGCGTGGCTCATCGACTTTGCGGCAGCGAGCGAGGCTCCGCAGGTCTGTGCGGCTCTTCTCGCTGCGCCGGCGGGCGCAGCCGAGCCGGCCCTCGTCGCCGCGGCGGGCCTGCTCGCCGAGGCGGGCTCGCGCAGCGGAGGTGCCGCGCAGGTCTCGTCTGTGGGTCCGCTGCTCGAGCTCTACGCCAACCCGGCGCTCACGTCCCGCGCGGCGCTCGCGCGGCTAGCGGCGGCGGCCGCGTACGCCGCCGTCGGCGCGGCGGCGGCCGATCAGCTGCTGACGCCCGCCGTGGCGGCCAGCCTGCCTCCCGCGAGGCACCGCCGCAGTCTTGGCGCAAAGCGTCTCGGCGCCCGCCCTCCCACTCGAGACGCCTCCCGGCCCGTCCCTGCAGGCAGCTGCTGCTCGTGCATGCGACGGCTGACGCGCTCGCCGCCTCGGGCTCGGTGGAGGAGCTCGCGCTCCAGCCCACAGTCACGGCGGCGCGCGCAGTAGCCGTCGGTGCCGTGTCGGCGGCGCTGCTGCCGCCGCCGCCGCCGCCGCCGGGCGCCGCGCCGCCGCCGCCAGTCGACGCTTGCGCGGCGCTGCGCTGCCTCGCGGCGTGGGCGGAGGCGGGGCTTGGCCTGGAGCAGCTCGCGACGGCGCACCCGACGCTGCTCGCCTCCCTCACCGCCGCCGTCGGCAGCAGACCCGCCTCCGAGGAGGGTGCGGCAGCGGCGGCGGCTCTGCGCGCGGTGGCCGCCGCGTCCCGCGAGCTCGGCGAGGGCGAGGAGGAGGCGGCGAGGCGGGCGGCCGGGCCGGTGGCGGCCGCTGTCGGCGGGTGGGCGGGGGAGGTTGGGCGGCTCGGCGTGTGTGTGGAGGACGAGGTCGGCGTCGCTTTCGCGGCGGAGCTGACTGCGCTGGCGGGCGGCGGCCCGCTGCAGTCTCCCGCGCCGAGATTGCGGCGAGATCAGCCGAGGTGCGGCCGAGACCGGTAGGCGGCGCTGTTGCTCGAGTCGATGGCCGAGGCGTTGCCCGCAGAGCTCACCGCGGTGGCGGGCGGCGGGGGCGGCGGCGGGCCGGTCCCGGAGGCGATGCCGCCGCCGCCGCCGCCGCCCGTGCCGCCGCCGCCGAGCGCGGGCCTGGTGGGGCTCCTGCTTGGCAGCACGGTGCGGGAGGCGTGGTGAGAGGTCGAGGCGCAACGAGGGCCGCGTCGCACACACTGCGCGTGAGTAGGCGCACCCGGTGGAGAGAGTGGCCGAGGCGGCGGCCGAGGGGTGGATGGCCCTGATCGAGGCCCTCGGCCCGCCTCGGCCGCCGCCCCCGCCTCCGTCGCCGCTGCACGTTGCCGCTCCCTCCGCCGCCGGCGCGGAGCGGTGGCGGTCGGAGCTGTTCGGGGGTGTGGCGGAGCGGTCTCTCGTCCGCTGCTCGCGGCTTGCGGCGAGCGAGTAGGATATCTCCCCACATCTCCCCCTACCTCCCCATACCTCCCCATACCTCCCCATACCTCCCCATACCTCCCCATACCTCCCCATACCTCCCCATACCTCCCCATACCTCCCCATACCTCCCTATACCTCCCCATACCTCCCCATACCTCCCCATACCTCCCCATACCTCCCCATACCTCCCCATACCTCCCCATACCTCCCCATACCTCCCTATACCTCCCCATACCTCCCCATACCTCCCCATATCTCGCGGCTTGTGGCGAGCGAGCGAGCAGCCCCGCGCGCGGGTGTGCGGTGGCAGCCATCAGCGCGGCGCCGTCTCCACCGCAGGCGAGCGAGCGCGGCGATGACCTGGACGACCTGTGCGGCTGGCGAGAGCGCGCTGCCCGCCCGCTGCTCACCGCGAGCTCGGAGCAGCTCGGCGTGAGCTGGCTCGCTATGCTCGCAGCGACCCTCTCGCCCGCGCCCAAGCCCGGGAACCCCGTGCCCGTCATGACGCCGGCGGGCCGTGCACACGTCGGCGGCTGACCGCGCCGCGATTGTGGACAGGCCGCACGGGGCCGACGGCGAAGCGCTGCTCTTCGCCGCCTCCTGCTCCTCCCCCGCCATCTGCGGCGGGCCCCACCCGCCGCCGGGCCACGCCTCGCAGACAGGGCCGCCGCAGGCAGGGCCGCCGCGGCCTCCTCCACACCCCGAGGCGGCGGCGGCGGCGGCGGCGGTGCTCTCTGCGCTCGCCGCGCGGGTCGACGGCCTGGAGAGCGGTCCGGCCGCGCGTCAGGGGCGACAGGCTGTCAGCGCGACGCGATTGCCGTGTAGGTGGACTTTGAGCTCGACCGAGTCGCGGCGGAGGCGACGTCGGCGGCGGACCACGGCGCCCTGTCCGCGCTCATCACGGACTACGAGGACGGATGCCGGCGCGCCCTCGAGCCGCTGGCTCTGTACTCGCTATAGCCCTGGCCCTCCGCGTGCAGTCTCCGAGGGACCGAGGCTCGTGGGCCGTAAGTGTGTGTGGAGTCCTGACGTGTGCATGCTTCCCGCAACAAATGGAATTCTAATTCGGCACCGGTCACTGGGCCGGGGACACGTAGTCGTAGATCAGACGTAGATTCTCCGCAAATATGAAATATGAAATAAAACCGCACCCCCGCCTTACGAGTTCGCCTGAACCCTCTCACTCAGGCGTCAGGGTGGTGCTGTACCTTGTTAGCCGTCGCCCACCCTTGGTTGGGCGACTGCCGCTATTAAAATTAAATAATAGCAAATAAATAGAGCAGGTAGGCAGCTCCATGAGAGATGGGCGACGCACGAGCACAGAGGCACAGCGCGCACCCCGCCCCGCGCGCGCGCCGCACTTAAGCATACACCTACAACTTGTGTCTTGATTTGCCAACAATCAAAGAGATATATTTGCCACTTTCCGCACAAACATGGCACCCGACCAGCTGAAGCTCTAGACTCGTCGACCGAGCTCTGGACGATGCCGACCTCAAACCACCAGCGCCAGCAACGACGTGCCGCGGCTCGCCGCGCCGCTGTTGCGACCGACGACGTGCCCGACGCCGTCCCGCGGCCGAAAGGAAGAGGCCCGCGCAACCACTTCTGGGACCCGCGGCCGCCGGGCGTGCGGCGGCACAACGAGTCGAACGAACCGAACCAGCGCAGAGCGGCGCGTCTCGCGAGCGCCCGCGGCCGCCACGCCGACGCCGTCCGCGGCCGACGGTGGTCGCGAATCAACGCGGCGCGGTGCAACGAGGCCAAGTCCTTCCAGGCTCCCGCCAGCAGCGCCTCGTGGCGTGGGCTGCACGGCCCTTCGAGACGGCCCGGGGGGCGGTGAGAGACCTCTCCCGCCGGCATGGCGCACTATATCACCCGTAGAGGCCTCTCTATAGTCGCCTTTTGGCACCTCCTCTCTCCACGCCGCCGATTAGACCTCGCCGCATCGCATCGCCCCCTTCCCTGCCCCGTCGCCCTCCTGAGCTCTCCCTCCTTCGCTCCAGCCATGCACAGGACGGCTGGACCATTGGCCCGCGTGCCAGGCGTCCGGGACGGCCGGGTATCGGCTCCGTACTTTGAGCCCTCTTGGGCCACCCTCGCGTCCACCGGCCGGCAGAGCACCGCTTGGGCGACTCAGACGGCCCGCCCGACCAGCGCGTTCGATCGTGCCGCCCCCACAGCGTCAGTGGCGTGCGTGGGGTGGCAGGCGGCGTCAGCGCAGCCCCTCGTGGGGGTGCCCACCGCTCTCCTCTCACCGCTCCCCCCCGCCCGTGGCACCCCACACACTCGTCCCTCCTCAGGGGCGCAAGGCGGCACGGCACGTTCAGCGCTTGCCTCGGCCCACCTCGCCTTCACGCCCGCCACCGCGACCAAGGAGGTGGCCTCGGCGGCCCAGATGAAGCCCGTGCGGCTCGTTTGGGAGCCGCATGCCGTCCCTCTCTCGCCGGCGCTGCTCACCACGCCCAAGCCTACGCCGAGGAACCCGTCGCGCCCGTCGCTCACGAGCTGGTGGCTCGCATCGACCGAGCTGTCCAGCTTTCTCACGCCCTGCCCACGATCAAATTCGAGACGACCAACATCCGACCACAAAAAAGGCCCGCGCGTGCTGCGCGGGCCGGCGAGCGACTAGCGAGCCAACCTGCTAGTATACCTAATACAACTTGAGCAGCGCACACAGGCCGGCGGAGGTTTTTTTAACGTCAACCTCACCCAGACAACTAGTCCGGTACTAGTCCTGGTGCCCTCGATGTACGGTGGCGGCGGATACGGCGGCGGCGGCGGCAAGGGCGGCGGCGGCTACGGCGGCGGCGGCTACGGCGGCGGCGGCAAGGGCGGCGGCAAGGGCAAGGGCAAGGGCACGTCTGCGTATGACCCTGACCGCGGCACTCGCGGCGGCGGGAAGGGACGGAACTCCGATGCCGACTTTGGCGACTTCAGCAGCATCCTCGATCGGCCCAGGGACCGCTCTCCGCCACGAGGCGGCGGCCGCCACGGCGACCGCGGAGGCGACGGCCGCGGCGGAGACGGCCGCCGCGACGACCGCGGAGGCGAAGGCCGCGGAGGCGAAGGCCGCCGCGACGACCGCGGAGGCGGCGAACGGCGGGAGAGGGACCGGGACCGCCGCGATGACTCGCGAGACCGCGACCGCCGCCGCGACCGCTCGCGCGAGCGCCGTGACGACCGCGGCGGCGACCGCCCCCAGGGGGACCGCCACGAAGACTCGCGCGACCGCGGCCGCGGGCAAGACGACCGGCGGCGCGATTATGGCGGCGACCGCGGAGACCGCGGAGGTCGCGAGCGGCCGCCGCCCTCCGAAAGCGCGGGCGGCGGCGGGGGCGACGCGCGCTAAAGCGATCCACGGAGTGCAGAGTGGCCGGCGAGCAAATTCCGCCCCGCGCCACGCCCGGGCAGCCGCCGGCGCTACCCGGGTACGAGGCGGGAGGGGCGAGCCCGCACTGCTTGCCCCCCTGCCAGAGGCGCCGGCAGCCCTACCAGCTACCTGCGATGGACTTGGTGGTAGTCTTGTTGTCGCCTTCACTTCTCTGGCCCATCCACCGGAATCCGCTGCAACCTCCTTCCTATAACGTCTGTTTGTTTCTTTTTTGCTCCAGCAGACTTACGTTACTTACCACATAATTGTGCCTTTTTGTCCTAGCACGGGGTCCCCCGTGTGGCCGGAGGTGACAGCAGCAGCCGGAGTGGCCCCGCTTCCCTCGCCTTCTGACCATGCCGGACGCCTCCGTCGCCGAACGGACGCTCCTAGGCCAGCGCATCGGTGCCATATCCGGCGCCGAGGCTGCCAAAGGCTGGTCGGACGAGGCCATTGGCAAGCTCCTCGACCTCGTCAAGTCACAAAAGGGTGAGCGCACACCCTGCTCCGCTCACGTTGCCGCCTCCTCGCCCGTCGCCCGCGATTGCGTGCATCCGCCACCCGCCGCCAGGTGTCGTCGAGGACCGCGACGTCTGCCTCCTCGGCGAGGTCAAGGCAGCCTTCCGCTCGGCCGGCGTCTCGCGCCTCTCGAGCCGCGAGGCGGCGGTGCAGGAGATGCAGCGGTTCCTCTTCCCGAAGCCGAAGCCCAAGGGCGAGGACGAGGCGGGCCTCGCCAAGGAGTTCCTCAAGCTCGCGCAGCACGGCCAGCTCCTCGAGGCGCGCCAGCTCCTGCAGGGCCGCCCGAAGCTGCTGCACGCTCGCTCGACGTCAAAGGGGTACACTGCGATGCACTACGCCGCGATGGGCGCGTCGCTGCCGCTGCTCGAGTGGCTGGCGGAGCAGGGCCTCAAGCCGGACGTCCTCTCGCAGCCGAAGGATGCCTCTCCCGCCCTCACGCCCGCCCAAGTCGCTCACGACTACAAGCGCGACGCTGCTGTGGCCTCCCTCTCCCGGCTGGCGGAGGCGTACGCCTTCCTCTCCTCCGCCGGCGCCGAGCTCGACGACGCCGCGAAGCTGCGCGCCGCCGCCCGCGCGGGCTGCTCCGCCGCCGCGGCCGTGCTGCTCCGCCGCTCTCCCGCCCTCGCCCGCACCGCCGCAGTCGCCGAGTCGCCGCACGGCGCACTCGTCGCCGCCGCCCGGGGCTGGCGCACGTAGATGGCTACACCTGCCTTGCGGTCTCACGCCCCTCGCAGTAGCACTTCGGAGGGCGCAGGCCGCGCGAGCCGCAGTCGATGACGCGCGGTCCGGCACGGATGCCTCCCCCAGGAGGGCACACCGCCGTGCTGCGAGAGCTGGTCCGGCATGGAGCGCTCGAGGCGTGCGGGGCCGTCTCTGCGCCGCGCCCCAAACTCTCTCTTCTTTTGCGGGACGTCCGCCTCTTCTGGTGCAGGTCGCGCCGCCGGCCGGCGCTCCGACGGCGCTGCAGGCGGCGGTGGGCGCAGGGCACTCGGAGGCGGCTTCGCTGCTCGACGAGGCGAGCGCCGCGCTCAAGCTGCTAACGGTGGGCCAGTTTGCGGTGGGCGAGTCTGCAATGGACCAGCCTGCGCCCCTCGCGGCGGCGGAGGGGCGGGGCGGTCCGCCCAGGGAGAACGGCGCCGGAGGAGGAGGAGGAGGCGTGGGCGGGGGCGGCGGCGGAGGAGGAGGTGGTGATGGGGGCGAGGGTGGGGGCGAGGGCGAGGCTGCTGCGGCAGAGGGCGGTGGTGCCGCTCCGGCGGCGTGCTGCGCTCTGGTTGCCGATTGCAAGGTGTCTCGCGGGCGGTGTGTGGTTGCCGACGCATGGGAGCCGCTGCTGGCGGCAGCGCAGGGCGCGGCGGGCTACGAGGCGGCGCTGTTTCGGTGGAGCGAGAGTGAGCTCGGCCTTCCTGTCTGGCTGCCGGTTGGCTGCCCCCCGCTGCTCCCTCCCTCCCTCCCTCCCTCCCTCCCTCCCTCCCTCCCTCCCTCCCTCCCTCCCTCCCTCCCTCCCTCCCTCCCTCCCTCCCTCCCTCCCTCCCTCGCGTCACACGATTGGCGCGCTGCACCGCCACCTGCCCCGATGCGCCTTGCGGCCGAAGCTGCACCCGCTGCTGCACGACCCTCTGGCCCCTCACCCTAACACCTTCACCCCTAACACCTTACCCCAACCGCAGGTGCACCCGCTGCTGTACGACCAGTTCTCGCAGGGAGCCCTGCGCGCCGCCGACTCGTACTCCTCCGCCGCGCAACGCGAGGCGGTTATGCCGCTCGCGACAGGCAACGCCGACGCGCTGCGCAGGCTGACGCAGGTGCCCGGGGCGGGCCCTTCCCACGCCCTCTCCGAGACCTTTCCGAGACCTTTCCGAGGTGGCTCCTGGCTGGCGCAAGGTGCTTGTGGCGGCGCACACGCCCGCGGACGTGGAGAGGCGGTGCGAGGCGGGGCTGACGGCGTTGCTCGGCGCCGATCTCGTTGGAGCGCCGCCCCTAGACGCCGCCACACGGACCCGAGACGCCGCCACGCGGACCCGAGACGCAGCCACACGGCCCCCGGTCTTCCATCTGCCGCTCGAGCCGACACGCACTCGGCTGCCGCTCTCCAGTTTTAGCGGTGCCAGCCCTTGGCATGCCCGCGATCTTGTGGATGCACCGCACAGCTCCCCTCCACTCCGCCCTCCCCTCCCCTCCACTCCGCCCTCCCCTCCCCTCGTGCCGCAGGCGCGCACTGGGAGCGACTGACGCCGCAGATGAGGGCGTGGCTTGCAAGGGTCACGTACTTCCTCCCCGCGGTGCCGTGGGGGAGGGAGGGGTGGAGGGAGACGGAGGCGGCGCTGGCGAGCCGCACGCCCGACTCTGGCGACGCCGAGATGCTGCGCCTGGAGCTGCTCTGCCTCGAGCTGCTCGCAAAGGCTCGCCCGCTCGCCGCTCTCTTCGACGAGAGCTCCGAGGAGGCGCGCAAGTCGTCCGCCCGCAACTCGGTGCTGCCGTACCAGCCGCACGCGCCCGACTCGTGCCCCTACCCGCCAAAGCCAAGCCTGACGCCGCGCGACCCGGCGTCGCACTCGGCGCTGCTGCTGCTGCTCGCGCCGGTGCTACCTTCCGAGGCGAGGCGGACACTTCCTAGACACTTCCTAGACACTTCCTAGACACTTCCTAGACACTTCAGGGTGCTGCCTTCCGAGGCGGCCTCCCTCTTCCCGCCAGCGGTGCGTGGGGGTGTGAACGGCGTCTCTTCACGCCTCCACCCGTGGGCAGGTGCGCGCCGCCTTCCCGCAGTGCCTCCTCCTCAACGGCGGCGGCGTCACCTCCGAAGCGCGCGAGGCCCGTGGCTCGCGCCTCGCCACGCGGCTTGTTGAGCACTCTCATGAACGATGGATCATTCATCACAGGTCTGTGGCTCGCGTATCGCCACGCGGCTGCTGCTGCAGCGCAGCTTGCCCGACGCAAACCCGAGGCGCCCCCCCCTTCCCCCCCCCCCCCCCCCGCCTCGCCCCTGCCGTGAGGTCGGGCCGGCCCCACACGTCGTCCAGGTGGGTGCTCGTGCCCGCAGTCTACTCGCGCCACCTCGCTCTCGCGGTGCTCAGCCGGCTGGGAGGGCCGCGCTCGGTCGTTCTCCGCCACCCCCACGGCGCGCGCTTTGGGGCGCACGGCGGCGGCGAGCTCGCGGTCGCTGCCGACGAGCTGGACGACGCGCTGCGCGTGGTGCTCGCCGCCCTCACCCTGGCCCCTCACCCTTGCCCCCAAGCCCCAGCCCCAACCCTTGCCCTAGCCCCAGCTCACCTTGGCCCTAAGCCGCGCCCTCACCCTGGACACAGGTGCTCGCTTCGCTGAGCGAGTCGGCGCAGTTGGGCGGCGGAGGGGAGGGCAAGGGGCGGAGCAACGGCGGCGCGGCGCCGAAGCGGGTGGAGGCGGCGCTAGAGGCGGCGCGCTTGCTGCCCGCCGGAGACAGCGTCGGCGTCGAGCTCGTCGTCGAGCTCTCCGGAGATAGAGCAGGAGACGGCGACTAGACAGGGAGCTGTGAGCAGGCGTGTTGCTCGCCGAGGAGCTCGTGCCCGGGACGGCGCTGCCGCAGGACGGCAAGAGGGGCTGGTTTGACCCGACGATGCGCGGCTACTTTGTGGCGCGTGCTTCGGCGCAGGGCGGCGGCGGCGGCGGCGGTGGCGGCGGCGGCGGCGGCGGCGAGGGCGGCGAGTTGGAGGGAAGCGTGCTCGGCGGCGCCTGCCGCTTCCCTCCGCAGCCCCTCTCTGCCGCCTTCAGCGCGCTCGGCCAGACAATGCACGTGCCTGGGGCTCCGCACGCGGCGATCTCCGCTCGGCAGCCGCGATGAGTGACAACCGGAGGAGTGAGTGAGTTGAGGAGGCTTGCTACTAGGCGCGCCCGCTCGGCGCGTCGATGGCTGCCGCAGGCCTCGGCGGGCGGCTCGACGCAGCAGCTAGAGAGGACCCTCCTCCGAAGCTTCTCTGAACTTCCCTGCAGGCTTCGGCGGGCGGCTCGACGCCGCGGCTCTGTGCGGCGCCCTCTGCCGAGGCGCTCCCCTGCGCGAGGTCGTCGGCGGCCTCCTGGCGGCGGAAGATCCGCTCCGTCACCTCGCTGCGATGGCCATCCTTGCAAACGCGGCGGCGGGCGCGCGCGAGGTGAGGCTGGACGCAGAGGCGCTGCCCGAGACTTGTCCGCGACACGTCCGGGACGTGTTCCCCACAGGTGCGTCCGGACGGGGAGGCCCTCTCGCACGCGCAGCGAGAGCTGCTCGGCGGCTCCTTCCACGCCAACGCGCGGCTGTGGCCCGAGCACGCCCCGCTGCTGCAGCGGCTCGCGCGGCCGGCCTACGCGCAGGCGCAAGGGCTAGATCTCGGCTAGATCTCGGCTGTACCTCGGCTGCACCTCGGCTGCACCTCGGCTGTATCTCTCGGCTGCATCTCGGCTGCATCTCGGCTGCACCTCGGCTGCACCTCGGCAGCATCTCGGCTGCATCTCGGCTGCACCTCGGCCGCACCTCGGCTGCACCTCGGCTGCACCTCGGCTGCACCTCGGCTGCACCTCGGCTGCATCTCGGCTGCACCTCGGCTGCACCTCGGCTGCACCTCGGCTGCATCTCGGCTGCACCTCGGCTGCACCTCGGCTGCATCTCGGCTGCACCTCGGCTGCATCTCGGCTGCATCTCGGCTGCATCTCGGCTGCATCTCGGCTGCATCTCGGCTGCATCTCGGCTGTATCTCTCGGCTGCATCCCGGCTGCATCTCGGCTGCATCTCGGCCTGGCTACATGCAGGCGCACGGGTCGGCGGTCGCACGCCTCGTCGGACGGCGCCTCCTCGTTGATGTGCTGCTGCCCGACTTTTCGGCGGTCGCGTCGAACGGCTTGCGCGAGCCCGACCCCGAGGCGAGATCGAGAGCCGAGATGTAGTCGGGGTTTTGTAGTCTCTAGCGGGGACACTGCTCAGAGCGTGACACGATTGCGGCAGGTGGTCGCGCTCCACGCGCTGCTCGAGCGCTCGCCTTTCGACGAGGTGCGCCGGCTCGCGCGCGACGTGCGGGCGGGCTACGCGGCGATGGCGGACTCGGGCGAGCTGGCGGCGGGGCAGCCACTCCCGAACGCGGAGCACGTGCGCGAGCTGGTCGAGCTGCTCGACGAGGCGGCGTGAGGGAGAGGGGAGGAGACATGCAGATGTTTATGAGATGCGAGAGCGCGGCGGGTAGGAGGTCCCCGGGCAAACGCGGACTGCTTCCGATGTGTGGCCCCTGTGGCTGGCCACTGTTACCTCTGTCAAATCACAACGCATGTTCGCCACAGGACATCATCCAGACGCTGCTCATACTGCCCCCCAAGACGATAAGTGTGAAGCATGAAGTGACGTTGGGAGAACGCGCGTGGGGCGTCGGGGGGCGAGGCGCTGCGCGGGCCGGCTAGCGGCATTCACGGCACATAACATTCGGCTCTGAGGGCGGGGGCGCAGGTAGAGGTAGGGCTGGCGTGGGGGGCCTCAGGTAAAGGTAAACCTGTCTCAGACCGCCGGAGGTAGAGGTAAACGGAAAAACCACGTGAGGGCAGGTATTACCAGGTAAACGTACGCCCGTGATGCGTGAACGTAACCCGCCGAGGGCTCTGTCCTCGGGGGGGGGGAGGTGGGACGACCAAGGCCCCGCGAGAGCGCTTCGCCTGCGGCGCGCCTGCCCGGCCATGGACCAGGCTTCACCGCCGCTTGCCGACGGCTGATCGCATCGCCTACCGCATCATGCGCCGCGCATCGCGAATGACCAGTGCCGCGACCACTTGACCTTGCTGCCTGCCTGCTGACCCCCGCGCGGTGCAAAGAATCTGCGCGTCTCTCGGTGCATTGATTGTGCATGATTGCTCGAGTGGCTCGAATTGGCAATCCACCGCAATGCGAACATGACTGGAGAGCATATGCAACACGGACGCAGGCTTGCCGTTGGCGACGTCGGTTATCAGAGGGGTCAGGTCATAGTGACGCGCTCGATGGGTTGCTGCATTGACGCACACAGCAAAAGCATCGCAGCAGAGACCTTCTCATGAGTGGCGGCTCGCACCATGCGGCAGTGCGGACACCAGGTGCGCGAATTTAAGAGCCATTTTTGGCCACCAAGCGAGATCACCCGAGAGCAGCTGAGTCTGCCTCTGGCCTCGCCTCCCTCTCCCTCAGCACAGGCATTCGTGGCATCCTATGGGTCGTCCAGAGTATCGACCTCTGGCTTGTCAGCCGGTCACTTGATGACACCATGAAGTACAGCGATCGCCATCTCGCTGGCCTCTCCGCAAGGCCCCCCGACCGCGTCGAACTCATCGGCGCGGGCTCTCTCGGCTACGGGACCGGCCCCAGCTTCGGCTGAGGGCGAACAAGCTGCCGAGGCCCACGCGCAGCCCGCGGTGACGCAGCGCAGCGAGTGCGAGGCAAAACAGCCGGATCCTCCTCCCGCGCACCTGCGATCGATGCGCCCACGTCGTCAACGCCTTCCGCTCGTTGCCGTGCGCGAGGGCTGCGAGCGCTCGCCCACGCAGCTGCCGCGACAGCCGCCGGCGCTCCACGAACACCGCGCGCCAGCTGTTCCAGCCTCGGCGGCCGCACCGGTCTTGGAATGCGTCTGCTGCCCTTCGCAGCAGCCGCCACGCGCGTGCGGATGCTCGTGCGTAGCTCGCCCACGTGTTGAGGCCCACGCGCAGCCCGCGGTGACGCAGCGCAGCGATCGCGGTCTCTCTTTCGCTACGTGTTCGACGTCGTCGAACAACGTTCGACCATGGCACTGTTCACAGCGCGCGCGGACGGCGGTTCTGCGACTCCTGCTCCGCAGGACTTTTGTAAAGCATGCTTGTGGCAAGTTATGGACGCTAGTATCGACCTCAGAGACCCAAACCCGAATTAATAATTAAGGCTCAAAGTATGGTCGAACAACCGTCGAACAAACAGGTCGAACAACGAAAAGAGACTAGTGCGACCGCTAGACGGCGGTTCCCGCCGGCCCCAAGGCTGCCCACAGCTCCAGTATCACACCGGCCACGTACACCGTAGCGCTGGAGTCGGTCAGTGAGGCACTAGACGGGCTACGGAACCATGCGCGCGCCGGCCGGACAGGCTGCGCGCATGGGCCGCGCCGCCTCGATTTCGCACCTCCGCTCCGCGGCCAGCTGAGGGGCGCAAGCTCGCCCGGCGACAAGCCCAGCCATCGCCCAGCGCCCCGTATCGACGGGGGGCACGCAAAAAAAACGCACCTACGACTAGGGTGAGCATGCGAGGGCGTCGGTGTGGGCCGCGGGCAGGCTGCCAGGAGGGCGCGGGTGGGAGCATGGGAGATGCACCACCGCTCAACGAAGACGCGCCCGACGAAGCCCTGCTAGCGGAGGATGGTCGATCCTCACCTACTAGTGTCGGGCGTGTGCGAAAAAGAGCGCAAATCGGAGCTCAACTCGCGCGCGGCTTGGAAAGGGGTGTGGCACCTTCCGAAGGCGCCTACCTAGCGAGGAGCTGCTGCTGCCCCCAAACGCGCTCGGGCAGCACGTCGGCGCGCCAGCGGTATATTGCCAGCGGTGGCGGACTGTATTCATGTATCTCCTCTCCTGGGGCTTGGCGGGCACAGGCTTTCATATTATTATATCAGCCCACTGTTGGCTTCCAGAACTTTCATGTTTGTCAGTGGCCCCACTCGGCGAGCAAGGCCCTCGGCTGATCAAGAGCCCCGGACACGTGGAACGCCCTGCTACTTTCCGTCGAACGCGGGCTGATATTATATTGTATCCGGGCTGACTACCATGGCGCCTTGGGAGGCGGAGCGGGCGAGGTGAAACCGTCGTCAATCTCAAGATTTTTCTTGGTCCTCATCCACAGAGAGCCCGCGATGGCGCAGCGCCGTGTGCGGTTCACCGCAGCGCTCAACTCGTATGTCCACGACCAAGGCTCGGAGGGCACGTGCTACGCTCACGCGGTGGCCACGCTTGTCGTCGACGCGCTGCGGAGGCTCGGCGTTCCTGCGCAGTCCGCGCCCCTTCGAAGTACCGTCCTCGAAGAGCTCGTAGCTCGATTTGGGAAAGAAGGCGCGATCGTGCCTACAGTGCTCGACTGGGCGCTCCGTACGTACGTACGCCCGCACAGCGACGAGGCCGAGTGCGAAGAGCTGGAGACCACGGACGCGGTGATGGAGGTGCTCGAGCAGGCCGAGGGCAAGGTGGTGATGGATTTCCGTATGAGCTGCTCGCAGTGGGCTCACTTCGAAGCCTTCTTCCGAGCGGAGCCGATGGGCATCCTCAGTGCGGGCGCGCTCGGCGACCCGCACGGTCGCATCAGCGGCCACGCCGTCGTCATCGAGGGCTCCGAGGACTACTCGCATGGCGGCGCGAACGTACCGGCGCACCACTTCTGGCGCTTCAAGAACTCGTGGGGCGGGCAGCACGCCGACGCTGGCTTCTACCACGTCGCGCGCGACGCCCTTCCCGGCGTCCGATTCTTTGCCATCGACGTGCCGGTGCGGCACCGTCGCTTCCGCGAGCTCTTCCTGCCCGGCAGCCGCCCAGACCGCACCTTCGACCTGCGCGGCGCGCTGGCGCTCTCGAGCGACAAGGTGGGCGAGGGCTCCTTCGGCACCATCTTCCGAGCCTCGCCCCACCCCGCTCCGGAGCCCGCAGTGCGCGAGCGCCTCCTCGCGCGCGCGGCTCGCGACGCGCTGCCCGCGAGCATGGCGGTCAAGGCCGTCCCGCGCGCCGATCGCGCGCACGCGCTGATTGAGGAGATGCGCCACCTGACGACGCTGCAGCATCCGTGCGTGGTCAAGGTGCTCGGCTTCACCCTCGACCGCAGCGGCCGCTGGGCGCTCGTCATGCCCCTGTACGAGCTTGGCTCGCTGTCGCACCCGCGCCCGGGCGCGCTCGTCACGCGCAGCGCCCTCCCCCGCATCCTACACTGCGTTGCGACCGCCCTGCAGCACGTGCACGACGCCGGGTACATCCACGGCGACGTGAAGGAGAGCAACGTGCTGCTTCACATGGATCGGCACGCCGGTCCGGACAAGGTGCTCTGCGGCGTCCTCGCAGATTTCGGCAGCATCCAGCGCATCGACGCGCCACGCAAGCTCGCGCGCGTGGGCACGTCGGTGTTCCGCGACCCGCGCGTGCGCAGCGGCGACTACGGGAGCGAGATCGACGTCTACGCCTTCGGCTGCGTGCTCGCCGGCACCGCCGTGCGCGTGGTGCACACGGACGCGTCCTTGCAGTCGCAGCTTGGCGAGCTCGCGGAGCGCTGCAAGGCCAGCGCCTGGCAGCAGCGCCCGGAGGCCTTTGGACTCATGCTCGAGCTCGCGCAAATTGTAAACCAGCAGCCCCTGCGAGGGGGGCACGTGCGCCCGGGGGCGGGCATCGACGGCCTCGTCGCGTCGCCGAGCAGATGGCGCGCAACCGCTCGCGCTTGTCGAGTACCGGCTCCGAGCTTCACGCGGTGATGGCGCCGCCGCCTCTGCCGCGCCCGCTCGAGGTGCCCACGGACGTCCCGTCGGATCTGGACGAGGTCGATCGCGCGCACGTCGTCTATGTGTCACGGGCCAAGTACCACCACCGCTCCTGCCCGATGATCGAGAGCTGGCACCGCTCCAGCCGCACCGAGTTCGAGAAGCAAACATTTGAGTACGTCGCGCCGCGCGTGCGCTTCAAGCCGTGCTCCTCGTGCGCGCACCACTTCCGCTTCCGCTTCAACGTCTTCCCCCGCCCCCGCGGCGCCGTGCAAGCGTACCCCGCCTTAAACCGCCCCGCGCCGTACCCCATGGACGACATCGGAACCCCTCCGTGGTACGCACGGATCCTCGAGCCCACGGGCGACGACGATCACCCCGAGACGATCACCCTCGGCCCGCTGCACGTGGACGACGCCTTCGAGGCGCGCGCCGAGGCGCTGCGCTACCTGTGCGATCTGAGCGGAGCGTACAAGTGTGCGCTGCGCGACCCAGTCGGCCAGATGACCGAGTACGAGGAGCACCCGGCGCCGCCCGCCCGCGCGCGCGACGGCTCCGGCGGCATGGACATCCGCTTCGAGACGCCGGCCGGCGACGCGGTGTGCGTCAAGATCCGCCCCTTCTCGGTCGCCATGGAGCGCGGCTGGCCGCTCCAGGGGGATGCCGACCGCCCGGATCCACACGCGGAGCGGTGGTCGGAGGACGACGACTTTAGCGACGGCGACGGGGAGTACCCGGAGCTCGCGGAGAGCACGAGCGCTCGCTGGGGCAAGCACAAGGGGACGGAGGAGGACGTGACGAGGGTAATGACGGAGAACCAAATCTTCTGGGGCGCGAGCCGAGTCGGCCGGAACGGCTTCGATCTGCTGGAGGACTACAAGAGGCATCCGGATCGCGTGCTCAACTTCCTCCGGTCGCGAGGCGTCAGCATCCGCTTGTGAGCGGCAAGGGCAAGCCGAGAAGATCGCGGCGCTTCCGACGCGTCGCGCGTGAGCTGCTCCCAGGCGCCCATTTTGTGAAATGCCTGGCCACTCACCTAAGCCGATCTCAGAAACACACTCGTGCGGCTGCGCATTGTTTGTATTTTTCCCTTCTCTACGAGCCTGCGAGTGAAAATTTCAGCCCTGAAAATAGCTGCATCGTCCATCGAAGATCACATATTATCGAGATCACTCGAGAGATCACTCGAGACACGAGAGATCACGCACAGGTAAATCACGGCCCTAGGCCGGTCGCTCAGAGGTAGAGCTAGAGGTAAAAGGTAAAAGGGCCCACGGCTGCCCAGAGGTAAAGGTAAGAGGGCCGCAGGCCCTCAGAGGTAGAGGTAACCTAGACCCCTCCTACCCGGCCCTCAGGGCCGATAACATATCGGTTATCGCCTTATCGCATTTTTTCAATCGATGTTATATATATAGCGAGCATCCGATGAGAAAAACGACCACATTCTTGTATTCTCGGCTCTAGCGCGCCCAACACAGCTATAGACGACCCCCCCAGCTGCCTCTAGACACGCCCTGGCGCCCCCCGGGCCCTGCCCACCACGCCCTCCCCCGACCCCCTAATGCTACGCCCCGTCCGTCTCCATCGCGCTCACACGCTTGGGCCTGTCTCTCACCTTGCGCCGGTCTGCCGCGGGCGGCGCCGGCGTGGCTATCCGGCCGTACTCCGCCTGGTTCGCCCTCGCCCGCACCACGCGCAGTGTGTGGCGGAGGCAGGTGCCCGCAAAGACGATGACGAGCAGTGCAATTCCGACCACTTCGGTGAAGGTGGCGGCGGGCGACGAGGCCCAGCGACCCTTGGGCAGCCGCTCCGCCGCCGCCCTCGCCTCCTCCGAGACAAAAACCTGCGTCAGCCGCCCGTCCTCGAGCAGCAGCTGCGCGCCCGCCACCGCGTCGAGGTCCGAGCAGATCTCCGACGAGGAGAGAGCAAAGGCGGGGAGATGCTCAACGACCACCTGCAGCTGCTGGGCCAGTAGCCGCGCCGCCGTGCTCGCGTCGGCGGCGCCCGACTGCGAGGCCGCAAAGAGGTCGAGCACGAGGTACTGGCCTGCTCCAAACATGTCGCGGACCTCGACGGATGCGGCGTCCACCCGCAGCTGCGCGGCGATCTCCGCGGCGACGAGATCGGCCATCTGAGTCAGGTCGCGACCCACCTGCGGCCTCCTCAGCCTGAGCTGAAGGCGCGCCGCCTCAGGATGCAGCGCAGGCAAAGGTAGGGACGCGGCCGGCTCGCTCGGCGCCGACGGCCGCTCCAGCCCCCGCAGGCCCACCGGCGTCACGCGGAAGGCGCAGCCTGACGCTGGGCACCGCAGCGGGAGGGCCTGGAAGCCGACTCCCGCAACGGCGTAGGCGAGCGTCTCCCACGGCGCGTCGTCGATCGAGGCGTGCCTCGACGGCTCGCGCAGCACAGACACCGCCCAGCGCAGCTTCGGCCGGCAGGCGCCGCCCAGCTCCCCCCACGTGATTGCAAAGGACGCTGAGCTCGTCGCGATCACGCGCGGCGCGGCGAGAGCCGCGGCGTTGTCCGAATCGGTCAGCAGGGGGCCCGTCGGCTCGGATGGCGGGCCCGCGCCGTCGTCGTTGTGCGCCACGACTCGGAACTCGACCGCGTCGTACTCTTCCAGCCCGTCGATCAGCGCCGTCGACCCCGCGGTGCGAGGCACCACGTCGGACCAGTCGCCCGTCAACCTGCCCGGGTACCCCACCAGCTCGTCGGCGGGGAGGAGCGAGCGGCCCTGCACGGTGAAGAAGGCCTCGCCGCGGCAGCCCGCCCGCAGCGCTGGAAGCTCGAGGCCGACCGACCTATTCGGAGGCGGTGCCGTGGACCACGGCGTGCCACGCCAGTGGTGTGTGTGCTCACCCGGCGCCTGCAGCTGTGTGAGCGGGACGGCTTGGGCGCGCTCGCAGCAATGAGCGGCGCGCCACCCGAGTCGGTGGTGAGCCGCAGCGGCCGCGTCATGCGGCCGGGGCCCTTCGAGTTGCGGCCTTGCACCTGAACCAGGTAGGTGGTCCCGCCCGAGAGGCCCGATAGCACAAAGGAGAGCCCTACGCTAGCCGGGGGTCGTTCGGCTCACGAATACACGAGATGGGGGAAGACTAGCACACTAGCCGCCTCTTCCAGTTCCACATGGCCCGGCTCGGGTCCCTCCTCCCTTAGGGTACCCCTAGGGTTCTGAGGGCCGGATTGTTTTAAGACCTTTTAGGAAATGAGGAGGTTTGGGGGCTCAAATTGTCATTTAAGAGATTGCAGGCACGGGGGGTCCCTCTTTTAAGTCTGTTTAAGAAAATCGGCCTCGCCGGCATGCGTCGCTGGGTTCCGCGCCGTTTTATCCAATACTGCCTTTATTAGGCACAAACCCGCCTCTGAAGACACATCTGTAGGTCTGGTGCACTGGCAGGAGCCATACTCGCATAGGGGACGCGTGCCAGCTGACTGTAGCCAGCTTCCCGGCCTCCGGCGTCTACCGGGAGCCTCCCGGACGCCATCGACCTCGGGAGCTCTCCCGCACCGTTTAAGCGTTTAAGACCGTTTAAGGAATCGGCGGCCCAGCAGCTCTTAAAACCGGCCTAGGCCGGTTTTAAGCCGTTTAAGCCGCAGGCGCCCCAGGGCCCACCCTTTTAAGCCTAGGGGTACCCTAAGCCTCCTCCCTCGTGCGGCGATCGCGCCTGAGATCTTTCGGAGTTCGTTTATCACCCCCCCCCCCCCCCCTCGCCTCCGAGCAACTTTAAGCCCTGCCCCTGGCCCTGAAAAGGTTCGTTCACTTAGATCTAGATCTAACGCAGAATACCCCTCCCGTAAGCAAGAAAGAAATAAAGAAAACACGCAACCCAAGCGCCAAGGGAGGGATGGGACAACCTTCACGCCTCCTCGCTTGGTCTGCCCCCGCGAAGCCCTCATAGTTAGAGGCTGCGCAGGCCGTCCCGTTTGCTGTTTGCATAAAAAACGCCTGTTGCGCTGCGCGCGCGCGCCGGGGCCGTCTGTCTCACTCACGTGCCGCAATATGTGTCACACACGGCGGCTTCTGCCACCTCTCGATTGGTTCCATTTTCTACGCACACCTACCGGGGAAGGGGCGCTTGGGAGCGGGGGCGGGGGCGGGGGCGGGGGTGGGGGCGGGGGCGCGCAGCGCGCGGCCGCGCGCGCGCATCAGAGGGTAGGGGTGGGGAAGACGGCGAGGAGAGGGGGCGGCGCGGCGGCGGCGGCGGCAGCGCGCGCGCGGCGCGCGCGACGGAGGGGCGGAGCAGCGACCGCTGGCGCGGTCGCTGCTCCGTCTGTGACAGCGACGCGCGCTCTGGTGCAGAGCGCGCGTCAGGAAGGGGGCAAGCGTGGCGGCGCGGGACGCGCGGCGGCGGCGGCGAGCAGCCGAGCGCTCCGTGAGCGGTGAGGCGGCCGGGCGAGGGCGCGGCGGGTGACGGGTCAAGGGAGCAGCCCACACCCGGCCGTCGCTTTTTGAGCGACGCCTGCGGCACGCCTGCGCAGGGGCCGCAGGGCGGTCAGTTGTGGGCCGAGGCGGTGCCGGCCGCGGGCCGGGAGCAAGGCGCCGGCCTCGGCGCCGCCTCGGCGCGCCGCACGGGCGCGGCGAGCCTCTGAAATGGAGCCGAAGGTTTGCTGCGGTAGGTAGGTGGTAGGTGGTAGGTGGGGTGGTTTGACTTTGCCGCAGAGGCCGTCCCTAGCTGTGAACAGCAAACCCACGTATTTTTCTTCCCTGCAGAAAGCCTGTCGGCCACGCCGTCCACTAGCTGCCCGCCGCGTGCAGAGTGCCTTCTGCAGGTCGCCCCCCCCCGCCGTCCGCTGCCCGCCGCAGCGAATGCCAGCCCGGCAGGCGATCCCTGGCCTCTATTGCGAGGGGAGCTGGAGCACGGCGGAGCAGAAGCGGCGCCACTTTATCGTCGAGGGCCAAGTGCTCAAGCTGTTTGGGCGGCGCGGCAAGACCTTCAAAGGCCAGCTCAACCTCGCCGCAGTGACGGCGCTGCGGCCCGCAACCGACCCCGCGGCGCCGACCGGCACGCTTGAGCTCCAGCTCGACGGCGTCGTCCGCGCCTCCCGCCGGCCGACCTCATATTTCCTCGCGCCGGAGCGGTCTGCTGCGGAGCTCTTCCTCGCGCTCGGTGGCGCGGTGCCGTCGCAGGCGACGAGCGACGACCTTTGGAGGACGCACATGCGGAGCCGGCCGGCCGGCGGCATTGGCGGCACCGGCCAGGCGTCGCACGAGTACCGCGTCGGCCGCACGCTCGGGACGGGGACATTTGGCAAGGTGAAGCTGGCGCAGCGGCTGGCCGACGGGCAGATGGTTGCCATCAAGTGCCTCAACCGGAACCGGATCGTGTTCGCGGCGCAGGGGGAGCGGCTGGCGCGCGAGATCCGGCTCCTCAAGCTGCTCAACCACCCGAACGTCATCCGGCTTCACGAGGCGCTGCACACGCCCTCCCTGAGGGTTGCGTGCAGGACGTCTCCGTGGTCCACGACATGTCCGAGACATGTCCCGCAGGTGCTGCACACGCCCTCCGAGATCCTGATGGTGATGGAGTACGTGCACGGAGGCGACCTGCTCGAGGTGCTCAACACGCAGCCGCGCTTCCGCGAGGAGCAGGTGCGCGCCATCTTCGCGCAGATCTGCTGCGGCGTCTCCTTTTGCCACTCGCTCGGCGTCGCGCACCGCGACCTCAAGCCGGAGAACATCCTTCTCGAGCGGGTCGGAGACGACTTTCAGATCCGCGTCGCAGACTTTGGGCTCTCAACCATCATGCAGGCGGAAGGAGCGGGAGTGAAGCGGTCGGTTGACACGCATGAATCACTCACCGAGAGCAAGTAGCCCGTCCCGCGGGCAGGGCGGCGGCCAATCAGCTCGAATGAAGCACTCACCGACGAGCGCCCGGCCACCCTGCAGGCGGGGCAGCTGCTCTCCACCTCGTGCGGCTCTCCGCACTACGTCGCGCCCGAGATCCTCAACTTCGACGGCACCGCGCGCTACGACGGCCGAGAGGCGGACGTCTGGTCCCTCGGCGTCATCCTGCACGTGCTGCTCTGCTACCGGCTCCCCTTCGAGGCGGACTCGACCACGCTGCTGTACAAGAAGATCCGGCAGGGCCTCCCCTCGCTGCCCCCGCACGTGTCGGAGCTGGCGACGCAGCTGCTCGGCGGGAGACCTCGACGTGTCTCCCTCCGCACCACGACACGTCCGCGACACGTCCGCGACACGTCCCCGCAGGCGGGATGCTCGAGGTGTCGCCCGAGCGGAGGTGGACGCTCGAGCAGGTGGTGCGCTCCGAGTGGCTCTCGCTCGACGTCGAGGCGCCAAAGTGGTCGCAGCTCGTCGACGCCGTCGTCGACGCGGACGCCGCCGACGGAGGCGCCCAGCTCGTGGGCCCTCCGCATGAATGGTTGATGAGTCCTCATGAGCGAGTCACTATGAGGACTCATCACTCACAGGCGTCAGCTCGTGGGCCCTCATCTCCCCGTCGCGGCTCGCCACGGCCTCGCCCGAGCCCGAGCCGTCTGCCGGGATCGAGGTGCGGCGCGCATTCACTTTCGACTTTTTGCCGCGCACGCTCGACTCGGAGAGCGAGGGCGAGGCGCCCGACCCCGGCTTCGGCTCCTACCCTGGCAGCCACGCGCCGTCCCCGACCACAGGGCTGCGCGCGCCCAGCGCTCGAGGTTCGTGCCGCGAGCAGAACGGCAGCAGGGGCAGCAGCAGTGGAAACGGAGCCTGACGGGGAGGGGGGCGGGCCGAGCCCCACTCCTGGCCCCACTCCGGCTCGCCAGCCACTACACTTCAGACTGAAGGCATGCACCATAACCAGAACTCCACAGCATCCCAGTCTTCACAAGTACTTGCCGCCCCCCACTGCGAGATCGAGCGGAGAGCTCTGACTCTCGCTCCCACCGATGGATGTATTGACCGCGCCCCCCCAACTGTTTGATTCTCCTCCCCCCCGCTGTAATGTATCAATAGCCTATTTTGAGGATTGAGAGCACAGTCTCTCGGTCTCGCTAAAGTGTAAAGAGTTAAAACATCTCATGATCGTTAACATCGCGAGGCATTCACGAGCCGGAGCGGCCGACTACACTGTACACACGGTGAGCCCTGAGAGCCGCATACGTAAAGGCTAGTTCCAATTCACTCTGACACGCTAATCTTGAAAACGCGTCCAACGGAGCTCCGTGTTGCTCCCAGCGCCCTCCCCCGAGCTTCCTGCGGCCATGGCCGGTGCTACTAGTATGGGGGGCTACCTGGCTACCGCGAGCGCGACCCAACTCGTCGACATCGTCCGATGATGGTGCCGCAAAGTCAGCCTCCGGAGGCTATCGTGGGGTCGAGCCGGCAGTAGCCGCGACATGTGGTTCCACCACCCCTCGTAGGCTTTGCCTCTTACCGCCACCGTTCCCAGGCTGCCTAATGGGATGGAAAGGGAGGCTGGGCGAGCGTATAGAAGCGTGCTCGACCTCGTCGTGGCAACCTGTACGGCAGCGCTGGTAGGCGCGATGAGCGTCGTGCCACTTGACCCAAGACGGGTCGCAGGCGTCGTACCGAGCGCGTCGAGACCGTGTCCTGATGTGATCTGCACGGGTGAGTCACGTCGGCGTCAAAGGAGCGACGTGCGACCTGTCAGAGCTTGATCTCCGATCTCAGCGGCGTCGAGTCGTCTCCGGCGCGCGACAAAGGTACATCCCCAGGACGCGCAGAGGCAGCTGCGACCCAGCGGAGTGGACGGTAATGCACCGCGCCACCTGCTGTGCGTTACCGTCCACTCGGCGGGGTCGCAGCTGCCTCTGGAAGGCACCGAGATGTACCTTTGTCGCGCAATGGTCAAAATCAAGGTTTTGTAACGCGAGCTGTGCCACAGTGAAATGGAACTAGCCAAAGCCGTACGGGACCTTGCACGAGTAAACCTTTTCACCTTCTAAGCAGGGCTACACAATGACCCCATAGTGTGGGGGTGTCTCTGGCGAGTCGTGATGAGTAGAATTAGATTAGCCAATGTTATTTTGAAGTTCATATATGAAAATACCAACTTGCCTATGTGCACGTCTCCGCGGCGGCGGCCCCGCGGAGGCGGCACGTCGGAGCGGTCAGAGCAGCACTGCGCCGGCCGGCGATCGACTCTCGACTATACCACGGGCTCTATTGAATGGCCTCAAGGTGCTCTCTAGGGCTGCCCTATTCCGCTCGCCCGGCTACGTCGCCGGGCTTCGAAGGAAAAGGTTTCGCTCGGCACGGCGTCGGAGAGCAAACCTCGGCACGACCAACTCGTCCTAGAGTGGATGAGTGGACGCACGCGGCGTCGGCAACGTGGACGCAGACTTGCTGGAGATTGAAGAGGTGCTCGGCATGCGCTACTGCGACCCGAGCCAGATGACTGCGGTGGCGCTGAGGAACCCTGTCGATGAAGACGACGAGCGCTTGGAGTACCTCGTCTCTGGCAGGTTCGGCAGTGGTCCCGACGACCGTGGCTTCCATTCTGTCGCTTGGGTCTTTCACGGCGACCTTCTGGACCATGCAGGTGCGGACACGGTCAAGTCAGCGATACAAGATTACAAGAACCGGCTGGATAAGGAGTTCACGCTGCTGGCGGAGGCGTGTGACGAGGCTGATGATGAGTAGCCGCACCAGCGCAGCGCAGCGGCGGTGTGCGACCAGGGACAGTGGTAGACTTTCGACGTGGTGGGGCTGCTCTCTGAGCGATGACACTAGCAGGGGCATCATGCGTGTCATCGGAGTCTCTTGTATTATGATACCACCACGCCGCCACGCTCGCAAGGGCCGCCTAAGCGCCTAAGCACCCTAAGCACCCCCGCTGCTTAGGCCGCTTAGGCGCTTAGGCGAGTGACGGCCGGCTGCCCGGGGCCTGGCGTGCCTCCGCCGTGGGCTGAGCGCCTGGGAGAGCCACTCTGCAGGTGGTGTGCGAGCGTGTAGGGTTGTTGCACGAGTATATGGGCCACGATGTCTCAAATATGAGGGGTTTTGACTCCTACCGGCTCCTGACGCTATCCCTGGCAGCTCTAATGGCCAGGGTCAGTAGTGTTGTGATAGATGGTGCCCATACTAGCGCAGGAGCTGCCACACTCGCCCGGACCGTCCCCTTCTGGGGCCGGTTCCGCAGCCCGCGAGAGCCGACAGCGGGGCCGTGCCGCAGGTGCCTACTGCCGAGTGCCACAAACACTGCGCCGTCCCGCCATCACCTACAGGCTGTCTTGTGGGATGGTTGGGATGTCCAAACGCCACCATCTTGGCTCTTGCGACCTCAAACCCGCGAGCTGTATGGGTGGTCCTGACGTCGACAGACGCCCGAGGACCATGGTGAAGCTGAGCCGGAACGAGTCGACAAGTCTCGCCTGAGCCCGTGGCGGTCGCCGGCTGAGTCGCCGTACACGGGCCGGTACCTCAGGCGTCACCTCCGCAGCCTCAGGTCTCAAACTCCACCACCTCCGCCGGGACACCTTCGGTGGCACGCTCGGCGGCGAGTTTGTTGCAGCCCCACAGCGAGCGCGGCGTCGAGCCTGTTCCGTCTGGTCGGTTCGCGGCACTCACTGGGTGCCAGGGAGTGCCGCCGACACGCGAGCGGTGCTTCCTGGCAGCGTGCGCCGGCTGTGGGGCTGCAACAAACTCGAGACACGCTTTTTCAGTGTATGTAGCTCTTACGTACATTCCCGTAGGAGACTCTGCTGACAGGGCTGGACAGGGTTTGCGATGAGGAGCGACCCGAAGGGTTTCTCGGAGGTTAGCGCACCACTAACCGCCGAAGCGCAAGAACTTTTTTGGGACATTTTCGACGCTTTTGGCCCATATACTCGTGCAACAACCCTGTAGCCTTTAGCGTGCAGTCGGCCGAGCCGCGCCCGCGTGAGCCGTGGTGCGCGGAGACCGGAGTGAAGCGTCTCGTAAGAAGGTAAAGCTCTGCGAGTGCGGCAGCCAGTGCGCAGTGCCACGCCAGTGTGGCCAGTGCATGTCTCTGAGACCCGCCCGGCGTGTGTGGCGCAGCACACAATCACGGGGCAAAAACCCAGACCATCGTAATCGTTTGCGTCTTGGCTACTGTGCATTTTCGCCTGGAACCTGCGTGAGAGTGAAAAGCTAGCTACGGCTTTAGGCCGTCAGCACAGTTCAGCTCGGACCTCGAAGGAGCCTAATTCGCTCCAGTTCCTTCGCTCGCTGGGAGTTGAAGGTGGGCTGGAGGCGGTCAAAGCTGTCCGCGGCGACGTACCGCCAGCCGCCGGATCTTGGGCGGCGGCCCAGCAGCTCGTAGGACATCTCCTCTCGCCGCCTTTCCGCTTCGTCCAGCTCCGCCTGCAGCCCCTCGATGATGCGAGCGGTGCCGATGCGCGCGAGCTCGAGGCGAGTGTCACTCTCGGCTATTGTGTGCTGATGGACGAGCACCAAAGCGCGAAAGGCGGTCGGAAGGGGCATCGCGCCTGCTTCTCAGTCTGCTGAGCGCCGCCGCGTTGCCGCCGCGTTGGCGCATTGCGTCGCTGCTCAACCAGCATGCTGAGGGATATCACGACGCCGACAAGCCACTCCACATCCAGTAGCCGTGGTTGCTCCGAACTCCTAACTTGTACAGTGCCAGCTGCAGTCTGGACGAAAGGCCGCGTTCTTGCCCAGGAGGCGCCACTGCAGAATACCACCCTCCCGCACTGCCGAGCACTCCAAAGCCAGAGATGAGTCCGGTGACGGTCGCTGGTTTGTAGTCACGGGGCGCGAGGTGCATGCCGTGCGGGATGGCGGCGCGGGGCGGATGGTCAAGCTCGTCAAGGTCAGGTCATCCAAGTTTACGCCCGTCCGCGCAAGTATTCATCACGCGGGGTGAGGATTCTCACTTTTGCACGGGACTGGCGCGCACTGGCACTAACAAACTAACAATTGTTAGTGCCACTGGCGCGCACTGGCACTAACAATTGTTAGTGTTGCACAATTTGTATTGTTGTAAAATTCTCTCTTTTGGGTTTGGGTTTGTTTGTGTTTGGTCGGCGGCTAGCCGGGGTTGTATACTCCCGACGCGCGACGGGGACTAGCACTTTAAGCCGTCGTCCACGTTGATCGGCGCACAACCCCTGGCCAACTCACGGTCCACAGACCACACTGCCCGTCTCTGGGGTGGCGCGGGGGCCCCCGGAGGCACCGTGCGCCGCGCAGCAGTGCGGAAACGGGGCTCCGGCTCCACTAGTCTCCACTAGCACCGACTTACCGATCTAACCTGGTCTAACAGAGGGCAGATTTGGAGAGATCTCGAGGAGTACATACAGATAGACCCTCCAATCATGAGAAACCTCCAACCTGATTGGTCGTACTGACCGCCGACAGATCACTCCAGACAGCAGACAGGCCGACGTCTGCACGCGGCCGGCCGGGCGAGAGGCTTGACACGATCCGACCCTGCGACCCTGACGCTGCTGCTCTAGCTATCAGCCATGAACTGCTGACTGCTGCCACAATATGCGACCGGTGCTGGCCCACTTGGCGGCCTTCCCGGTCAGTGGTGAGGCGCAGTCCAGAGCTGTCGATGGCGCGATGCCGCACTGGTCGCTCCCACATTGGTGACACGAGACCACCACCTTTGCCGGTCCAAGAGAGAGGCACCGGCGCTGTCCTGAGAAGGAGCGTGGTCCCTCTTGACTGCCCATGCGCGCGAGGCTGTGTAGGCACAGCCTTGAGAGTGCCAGCAGCCAATCCGAGGCGACGCGCATTGCGCCAGAAGCGTGCACACGATGCTTCGATGGAAGGACACCTTCCTACTGGCCGTAGGATCAGGTCGTCACTGAATGCTTGATACTAAGGCCGCGAGCTATGCAGGTGATCAATTGTGCATCATGGCACGGTCAGCAGCGCCGACAGGTTGTCGCAAGGCGTGATAGCATGGCCGCAAGTACGCCGAATTCCCAAACCCATGAACAAGTGAAAAATCGCGCAAAAAAAGAAAAATGGCGCCAAAAACCGGCGCCTGCGGCGGGCCATGGGACCCCATCTCCCCTCCGCATGAACACCCTCTAGGGCCCCCGCGCCGGCCCAGAGCTGCCCGTACACTCCTCACTCGACAAAACTTCGACTACACTGTGTCGCACACACTATAATAGAAATTTACGGCTTTAAGACGGATCGTGGCATGATCAAACACGTGTGTTATACAGCGCGCAAGACCAAACACATGTCGATATTGCGCCAAAGAGCAAAGTCGCGCCGCACGCCTCACGCTTCCGGTCTCTCATCTGAGAATCGCAACATCTGATGCTGAGGCTCACATCTGCTGGGCTCGCCGAGCCCTCAACGCAGCGGAAAAGTCGGCGCGCCAACTCCTCTTTTCAGCCAGCACCCTCCAGCCAGCGCTTGACGTCAGCAACGCCTCGTCGTTTGACGTCCTCGGGCGCCATCGAGTGCTCGAAGGAGCAGGTGGCTGCCCTCGCCAGCTCCTCGTCTGTCATGTGCAGCTCCGCGCGGCACGCCTCGTACTCCTCGAGCAGCCGAGGCCCAAAGAGCAGCGGGTCGTCCGAGTTGATTGTCACCGGGACGCCCGCGCGCAGTAGCGCCGGCAGCGGGTGCTCCTCCAGCGACGGCACCGACCGCAGCAGCACGTTCGAGCTCGGGCACACGTCGAGGCAGATCGCCTCGCGCGCAAGCCTCTGCACGAGGGGCTTGTCGCAGAAGCACAGCACGCCGTGCGCCACCCGCCGGGCGCCCAAGTCGTCAACCGCCGACCGCACAGAGTCCGCACCCGACGCGCCGCCCCCCGGAGCGAGCTCGCCGGCGTGCGGAAACGCGGCGAGCCCGGCCGCGGCGGCGATCCGAAACGCCTCGGCGAAGGGCGCCGGCGGGTTGCCCGGCTCGGCAGAGTGCAGGCCAAAGCCGACGATGCCCGCCCGGCCGTGGACGAGGTGCTGGCCTCGCGAGACGACCCCGCCCACCACCGTGGCCAGCCGCTCGGCGTTGGCGGCCGGCTCATGCCTCTCGGCCGAGAAGATGTACGCGCACGCCTGGGGCGGCCGGGCGGGCGGTGAGGTGGAGTCGGTTCTAGTCCGCCTCGACAGAGGCCAGCGAGCTGCGCCCCGGCCACACTCTCAGCCACACCTCGGCTGGACCTCGGCTGGACCTCGGCTGGGCCTCGGCTGGATCTCAGCTGGACCTCGGCTGGACCTCCGCTGGATCTCTCGGCTGGATCTCGGCTCACCACTCGGCCGCCGAGGGAGTCCTCGGCCGCCGCCGCCGCCTCGAGCAGCAGCAGCACCGTCGGCTCGAGGCCGTCGAAGCGGTCGCACCACAGCTGCAAGCTCGGCGCAACCTCAACCCAGCGGCAGCCGGCGGCGAGCGCGTCCTCAAGGAGTTCACGCACAATGCGGAAGACGTCGTCGCGGTGGCGGAGGCACTCGCACGCTGCGCGGTACGCGCTGGCAAAGGCGTCGAAATTTGAATACATTCTGTGGCGCGTGTCCTCCGGCCGGGTGATGCCGTGCTTTGCGCACAGGTCCGCGAGGGTCTCCGTCCGCATCGCTCCCTCGAGATGGATGTGGAGCTCGCACTTGGGCAGATCGCGGAGCGGGCGAGTCATCGACATGGTGATAGATACCGCGCAGCTGTGCGTGTGGCTCCAGTGCGTACCCGGTACTGCAAAGCGCAAACTGGCTGGAGGCCGGCTGAGGCCGCGCGCGGTTTTCTTTCTTTCAGTATCTCGGCGTTTTTCTACTTTTTCTCTGTATGTGGCTCTTACGTACATTCCCGGAGGAGGACTGCTGACAGGGTTTGCGATGAGGAGTGACCCGAAGGGTTTTTGATTGTGTATGGTTCTTGCACTTGTGCAAGATTGGGCGTCTTCTGCCGCAGTCCCTTTGATGGGAGGCCCCAGGGTGGGGGCCACCTCGAACCCCCGGCCAGGGATTCGAGCGGAGGGTGCCCCGGATTCATCTATCCGTTGGGCCCCGGTACATTCATTAGAACTGATCACTTTGCGCAGCAGCCGTCCCTTCGCCGACTGGACGGCAGTGCGCTGCGTTGTCGCTCTGTCGTGCACGCTCTCGTGCCTCGTTGTTGTGACACGGGAGTAGAGTCGAGAGGTAGCCCTCGACGAGACGACCGGCGCTGCGATGCCAGACCTCACTGCCGCCGAGCTCAGCATTCCAGCCGAGCAGCACCCCGATCCCGCAAAGCCACTGGTGATACCCGTCGACTCAACAGTGGTGGGCTCTACCCTGCGCTTCATTCCGTGGTCTGTGGTGGGCAATCCGGCCTTCCTCCAGCTGCCCCCTCCTCCTCCGGGGATGCAACCGTCGTGGGTCCAGATTCCGCAGTGGGTCGCCATCAGTGCGCTGCTCGCCTTCAGTGAGCCCGAGCCCGCTGTGGCCACCCACTTTGACAGGCTCAGCGTCTTGCGGCTGGCCGTATTGGCCGCGGCTTGGCGCCGCATCCTCGGCGCCTTGTCCGACCTCGGCGTTTTCAGCACGGTGCACGTGGATGAGGATGCGTTCCGTACGGTGTGCATCCAGGCTCTGCACTCCCGCCAAATCCCGGTGCCCGAGCTCTATCTGCAGTGGGGCGATTTGGGGTACTCTGAGGCGATCACACCCTTGGGACCAGCGCCATCGGCAGAAGCAAAGGTCGTCGACTTCTTGCAGTACGCGACAGTCGGGGCTCTTTGCGACGCACCCTACGGCCGACGTCCCGTTCGCAGCCCTGTCTGACATGACCCGCTGCTTGGGGCCCGTCTTCACGGCGGCAGCGCGCGTCGATCCCATGGGGAGCGCCGTCGTGGGGGCTGCATCGCTCGCTGCCGCCGCTGGTCACATCACTCCGCGAGCGAGCGATGGGCATCCCTCCCTGCTCGCTCGGCATGTGCTCAGCATGCTGAAGACTACCCGCTCGAGTTTCCCGGCCTGCCTGAGGACCAACTCTTTTCAGAACTACTCTGCGGAGGTTGAGACTCGCGCCGAGTATGTGGGCGGGACCACCGTGGCGCGCGACCGAGTGGCCGAGCAGCGTTGCTCGCGCGCTATTGCAGCCAAGGCGCCGACGCTCGACTCCCTGCTCCGTGCGCTGCCTCGGCCAACGCCCCCGTCGGTCGTTTATGAAGCCTACCGGCAGCTCGTCTCGCTCTACTTTCCGACGGATCGGCGTCCTATGGACTTGCTCCTGACTGATCTGGATGCTCAGCTTCACGCGCGGCTACCCACCTACCAACACGCGCTGACCAACGGCAAGCCGTTCGCTTCGATCCTGGCGGGGCTGCGCAAGCTTCACGACTCGCTCGAGCCCTCGAGGAAGGCGCCAGTCATGACTTCGACAGGCGACTCCGAGGACTCGGCGTTGGGCAAGTTCGACCGCGCGCCGGCTGGCCTTCCGGACAACTCACTCCGAGAGGCCAAGGCCGGATTGCCCACCGCCGACCACGGAATGAAGCGCCGGGTAGAGCCTACCACTGTTGAGTCGACGGGCATCACCAGTGGCTTTGCGGGATCGGGGTGCTGCTCGGCCGGAATGCTGAGCTCGGGCATCACCAGTGGCTTTGCGGGATCGGGGTGCTGCTCGGCCGGAATGCTGAGCTCGGCGGCAGCGAGGTCTGGCATCGCAGCGCCGGTCGTCTCGTCGAGGGCTACCTCTCGACTCTACTCCCGTGTCACAACAACGAGGCACGAGAGCGTGCACGACAGAGCGACAACGCAGCGCACTGCCGTCCAGTCGGCGAAGGGACGGCTGCTGCGCAAAGTGATGATCAGTTCTAATGAATGTACCGGGGCCCAACGGATAGATGAATCCGGGGCACCCTCCGCTCGAATCCCTGGCCGGGGGTTCGAGGTGGCCCCCACCCTGGGGCCTCCCATCAAAGGGACTGCTGCAGAAGACGCCCAATCTTGCACAAGTGCAAGAACCATACTGCATGCACATCTCTCTCATGTGCGTACATTCCCGTAGGTGGGAGGACTCTGCTGACAGGGTTTGCGATGAGGAGCGACCCGTTTTTTGCTCCGAGCCCTGAGCCACTTCGCCTCCTTAGGAAGTCTAATTCAACTCTCTCTCTCTGCTGGCCTTCACGACGTCGACGAGCGCACGCAAAAGGCCCGAAGCCTCGGAGATAACGAAGTCCAGCATGCGCATGCCGACCCGACCTGCCGATCCGATCGTAACAAATTCGGTTTCGAAATGCGGCCGTCTTGGCCAAGATCGCACGCCGTCGCAGTTTTATGTTCCCGAGTTTGTTCCCCTTCGATCGCCTGCCCAGATTTTCCAGCCTCAACTGACACACGTCAATGTCGGAAGTGGAGGAGAGGCTTGCAGCCCTGGAGGCGAAGGAATTTCTGGGGACAAATGCGCAGGCGCTAGACGCCTTCTACCTCCTCGTGTGCGGCGTGTTTGTCTTCTTCATGCAGGCACAACGTCAGCCCCGATGTGTGTCGGGCTGCGGCGGTTTCAGTTTTGATCTCCCCCCCCCCGCCCCACCTCTGCAGTGTGGCTTCGCGCTGCTCGAGGCGGGATCGGTGCGCACCAAGAACACCAAGAACATCCTGCTCAAGAATCTTCTCGACGCCTGCCTTGGTGCCCTTCCCCCCTCGCCGCGCTTGAACGCGCCCACCCCCAGTGCCCCCAATGCCCCTGGCTCCGGCGTGTCGTCCTAAAATAGCCCCCCACGGTGCTGCCCCAGGTGCCATCATCTGGTGGCTATGGGGCATGGGCGTCGCCTATGGAGACAGCGGAGATTACGACGACGGAAACGAGTTCATCGGCACCGCTCCCAACAATGGCGGTCCATTCGCGGCCGCCGGCTGGGAAGGGAAGGACTGGCAAGAGTCGGGGGGAGAAGGCTACGGCTACACGATGGCCCTCTGGTTTTTCCAGTACGTCTTTGCTGCCGCCGCTGCCACCATCGTCTCTGGCGCTGTCGCTGAGCGGGCGCAGCTCATCGCCTACCTCATCTACACGACCATCATCACGGGCTTCATCTACCCCGTCGTCGTGCACTGGGTGTGGTGTGATGGTGGCTACCTCTCTGGTGGCTTCACCAAGGATAAAGACAAAACCTGGGCTGGCGGCTGCATCGACTTCGCGGGCTCGGGCGTGGTCCACATGACGGGCGGCGTGGCGGCGCTCTGCGGCGCGTTTGTGATTGGGCCGCGGGCGGGGCGGTTCGACGAGAGCGGCAAGGTGATGCCGATCCCGGGCCAGTCGACTCCGTTCCAGGTCGTCGGTACTTTCATCCTCTGGATGGGCTGGTACGGCTTCAACCCGGTGCCGCGCCGCCGCCGCCTGCAACCCGGCCTCGCGCCTCATATCCCTCACAGCTCGCCTCCGCTCTCTGCTGATTGTGATGACCCCTCCGCGCTTGCCTTCTCCAGGGCTCCACTCTCGGCATCAACGGTGCTGGCTACGGTCCGCTTTCCCCCGCCCACTCTGCGCCCCTCCCACCCCCTGACTTGCCCCGCTCCTGCGCCCTCCACTCATGTGCGCCCACCACCTACACCTACCCTCCTCGCCACTCTCATCCCTCCTCCACGCCACCAGGCGCGGTCATGGCGCGGGCCGCGATGTGCACGACCGTGTCCGCCTCCATCGGCGGCCTCACCGTCGTCTTCTTCGACCGCATTTTCTCCAAGACGTACGACGTGGGCATGGTCTGCAACGGCATCCTCGCCGGCCTCGTCTCCATCACCGCCGGTTGCGCGTCGATGCACGTGTGGGCCGCGTTTCTCACCGGCTTTATCGGCGCCTTCGTTTACTACGGCGCTTCCAAGACGATGCTCAAGCTCAAGATCGACGACCCGCTCGACGCGTATGCCGTCCATGGCGCGTGCGGCGGCTGGGGCGTCATCGCGGTCGGCATCTTCGGAAGCAACAACTACATCACGATGGGGTGGGCCGGTGCCGAATCGGTCACATGCATCGCCGACCCAACGCAATGTGGGCCGCTCGAGGCGTACCAAGGCGCTCGAACAGCTGCCCCGCCCTTCACGCAGCGGTTCCCAGCCCCGGTCCCGGTACCCCAAGTGCCCTTCCCTTCCCCCTCGCCTCCAGGCATCATCTACGGCGGCGGCACACTCCTCGGCGCGCAGATCGCCGCGGTTTGCATCGAGACGCTGTGGGTTGCCACTCTCTCGCTCATGATGTTCTATGCGCTCAAATTCGCGGGCACCCCTGCCACGAGCGCATGCTGTGCTGTAGACACGCGCTGCTCACATTCGCCCGGATGAGAATAGGCATCCTCCGTGTGTCGGAGGAGGTGGAGATGGCGGGCATGGACGTGTCCAAGCACGGCGGCTCCGCCTACTCGACCGCCTAGGCCTACTCTGGCGCTCAAGCTCTATGCCCTTGCGGTGGGCGGCGGGCCTCGCTTGTGCACCGCGGGCGCTGCGCCCGCTTGGCGCGTTGCCGTGTACATTTTGCCCGGCCGCCAGGCAAGCGCAATAGGCTCTCAACCCTCAACGCATGCTCAACGAGGGACGTGGGATCAGGGGGAGGGGCGCGGATAGGACCATTTAATGAGGGCGCCTAGTTTGTCCTCACTGTCCATCGTGCGCCTGCGCGCTGTGCCGCAGAAGCCGTGCGACGTCGGAAATTGTTTTGTCGTCGCGATTGTGCCTCCCGGCGGCGCGCGGGCGGGGCGTGCGTTGTCGACGGGGTGCCATCTCCCCGAGTCATATGTTCGCGATCCCAATCGCACTCCGCCACGCTCGTTCTCGTCTGGCTCACATGTCGAGAACGAGATGGTGTACGTTTTATTCGGCAGCGGCACCCGGCCCACCCGGTCAATGGTAGAATCATCACCAGTGTGTGCAGTTGCAGTGTGTGCATGAGTGTGTGACTCCGGCAAAATAACTAGCCCCCAGCCCGTCGCCTCAAGTGACTTACAAGTGGAATCAAGTGCCGAGCCGGCAGCACCGGGAGGCGGCAGGCGATACTAGCCCAAGTGTCATCACACTGGCGGTACTAGGATTCCTAGCCCATCGAAGCGTATCCCGGCCGTCGCCGCGCTCGAGAGCGACACCGCCAGGCTGTCGGGTAGACTGCCAGGCTGTCGGGACGGCCCTCGCAGCAGGCGGACGGCGAGGGTGGCGGCGAGTGCGGTCGGCAGCCATGAGACAGCCGCCTGGGTGGGGTGGGTGGCGTGGGTGGGGTGGGGGTGATGGGTGGGTGGGTGGGAGGGAGGGAGGGACCCGTGCTCCAGACAGAGGCCGGGCGCGGCGCTGCAGCGAGCGTGCTGCGGCTACCCAGACGACATCTCTCCAGAACGAGGGGGGGGCGTCGCGGCCTCCTCTCTCCAGGACTACGGGGAGGCGTCGCCGTCGCGAGTCGGCCGAAGAGAGGCCTCTCCGCAAGCGAGCGAGGGACGAGGAGCGAGGCGAGCCGCGCGCCGAGCGACGTCGTGATCTGGATGGTGTGCCAGCTCCCGCCGCCCGGCAGCGTGGTTGTGGTGCGAAGGTAGTTGAAGACGGAGCTGGCTGCCGTCTCCTCCTGCTCCTCCGTCGATCCGTCCGGGTAGATGGTGAAGACCTTCCTCCGCCCGTCAGAGACCAGAGTCCCGACGACAGTGAGGCCGGGAGACCACTGCCGCATCAGCGCCTGGCGGGCGGGGCACGGGCGAGGGAGTGACGGCTCGTCCGTGTATGGGAGGTGCGATGTCACAGACGCGCAGGGGACGCGCTGGCGGCAGTGTGTGCCCGCAGCCGCACCTGGCCGAAATTGGCGTTGAACAGGTCGTTGGCGCGCCGCAGGTCGACGTCGGGCGGCGCGTCGTCGATGGTGGCGCCTCGGTCGTACCGCGCGCGCCTGTGCTCGTCCCCTAGCACCGCGTAGGCCTCGGACACCTCGAGGAAGCGCCGTCGAGCGCTGTCATCGCCGGGGTGCTTGTCTGGGTGCGAGAGAAGGGCCTGTTGGCGGTATGCGGTGCGGATCTCCTTGGCTGTTGCGCTGCGAGGGACGCCGAGCACGTCGTACAACGACATGTGCGCAGCACGAGAGATCGTAAGCCGCCAGCGCAGGGAGAGCCGCGGGCTGCCAGCGTGGTTTGGGTATGATACGCCCTCGACACACGCAGGGTCTCGAGGTCTCTTGGATTAGAGCCCCGAGACCTCGAAATAAGTTTTTTTCAAGCGTTGCCCGGCCGGGTTGCTGCGCAAATCTCGCGCTGCGCTAGGCTCAGAGCGAGTTCGCGCTGCGCTAGGCTCAGACGGCGTGCGTGCGCGGGCCGCCGGGGTGACGGCGGGTGAGGACCCCACCTCCTTCCTCGGGCTCGGCAGCTTGTCGGGCTCTACCACTACCACTACCTCAGCCCTCAGCCGAAGCTGGGGCCGGTCCCGTAGGCCGTCCGTAGCCGAGAGAGCCCCCGCGTCCCGATGAATGGTATTGGTCGTCGAACGGCGGACGGGCGCGGGCGGCGCGGGGGGTGGCGGGGCGAGACGGCGCAGCATTCCCAGCCCCTTTGCCAAAGGTCCCTGTTTTGAGGGCATTAGTAGAACGGAGAGAGATCCCTTTTGGTCCTCCTTTGAAGCTATTTACACACGACCTCAGAGGCTCACGCTGGAAGTGGCGAATCGATGCGAGCGCGCCGCGTGCTCCACGCGCGGCGCGCTCGTATCGACTTGGAGTCCAATGCGCGCAGCGGGTAGCACCTCGGGAGCTCGCTCTACCCGGGATGCGGAGAACTGCCCACAGGAGCGAGAATCTATCAGCCACGTCTGGCGTCTGGCGCAAAAGGCCGCGCAGTCGTCCGCACCTGCGGAGGCCGCCGCAACTGGCTAAGGTGTGGGTGTGGGTGGGTGTGTGTGGGCGGTGAGGGGGGCGGCTAGAGGGGGGGGAGCGCGGCCGCAACGGCGACGGGAGATGGGGCGCAGGCCTGAGGAGGGGGGAGGGGGGGGGGGGTGTCCGCGGCGGCTGACAGGGGGTGGACAGGGCGGTGGAAAAGGGGAGTACCGCGGCGGTGGGAGATGGGGCAAGGCCTGAGGGCGGGCGGGCGCGCGCGCGGTGGGGGGGGGGGGGGGCTGGCGCGCGCGGTGGGGGGGGGCGGCTGGAACGGCACGGATGTGCGCCGCGGCGTACGCCCCCGGGAAAACGGGGGGGGGGGGGTGAGGGGGGGGTGAGGGGGGGGCCCCCAGGGGGGCGGGACCAGGCGGGGCAGGGGTTGGGCCCGGGAGCCTAGGCAGCGGAATGGGAGGGTTGGTGGGAAGGGGGGGGGGCAAAGGACCCCCCGACATCAACTGCCACGATTTGCAGCACAAGGGATTTGCCCGGCGTGAAAGGGGGGAGGGGGCCGCGGGGCGGGGGCGGGGCGGGGGCGGGGGCCGGGGGTGCGTGCCAAGTCTCTCGGGGCCGGCGGGGAAGAGGGGGGCGCAAGAGGTGCGCAAGAGCGGCGCGGCGAGGAGTGGACGAGCGAATACGGCCGGGGTGTGTCGGCCGGGGAGCCTCCGGCGGGCCTGCGGCGCGGGGCGCCGCGCGCGGCAAGCTTGCCGGAGTGTGGCCGCAGCAACAGCCTCCGGCGGGCCTCCGGCGGACGCCTAGCGGCGTGGCGCGGCGCGCCGGTGCTCGCGCGCCCGCGGAAGCAGCCGGGGTGTGTCGGCCGGGGAGCCTCCGGCGGGCCTGCGGCGCGGGGCGCTGCGCGCGGCAAGCTTGCCGGGATGTGTCGGCCGGGGAGCCTCCGGCGGACGCCTGGCGGCGTGGCGCTGCGCGCCGGCGCTGCCGCCATTCGAAAGAGGGCACGACTGCATCTTCGACGCATCTAATTCGTAGATTTTGCGCCCCTTACAGCTCGCGGAGGAGCAAAGGACGCCCGATTAGCGCTGCGCGCGGCCGGGCAAGAACCCATTCGGTCCTCGGAGAGGGTGCGGGGCCTCTAGTCGCCAGCAGCGTCGTTATGTTCTGTGACCGGAAAAAGAATTCCCGCGGCTAGAATTTTTCTTTTGAGCTAGCCTTCGATGTTGAAATCTAGCACTTACGAGATTTTTAGCACGGCCTACTCGCCCAAGTACTCGCTCTCTTTTATGTCCCACCATGCAGAGCGCATCTCTCTCTCTGTTGTGCGAGGCGTGAACCGCGCCATTCGCTCTCACCTGGCAACCCTGTCTGCACGTCTCGCGCGCGCGTGAACAGGGCTCCAGGCCCCAAATTACGTGTGAGTGTTAGAGTTGTTTGTGTTTGCACTTACGTGACTTGGCTCTTGGGCTCGGCAGCTTGGAGCTTGTCAACGCTACCAGATGAAACAAACGCAAGGCAGACACACATGACGCATCGCTCTCGGGCACACAGACGTCCCTCGTCCCGCACACCCGCCGCCCCCGCGCGCGGGCGCGCGCCCCACCCCGGCCGGGAGTCAGAGAGGGGAGAGACAGTTTGGGACGGCAACAGAACGAGTACCTCGCACTCCATGTGCGAGAACGCAGAGAGAAATGAAAGCCATCCGGCCTGTCCGGCTCCATCCACAAGTCCGGCTCACGCGTCCCGACTGACCGATCTACCATCCACACTGAACACTGTCACCCCCTGGAAGGGCCTGGTTGGAAACAGGGCTCGCGTACTCACTCGGAGCGCCGCCTCACCCGGCGCCGGCGCGTTCATCGCCCTCCAGCCTCCACGTCGACCCCTGCGCGCACCGCTCATCGTTGCCCTCTCGGGGGTACTACTCTCGCGCTCGCGCAGAGGAGGGGAACCCGACGAGTCGTCACGCACTTGGAGCACTTGGAGTGCAGTCAGCAACCGCACATCCAGGGCCGGGGAGCTCAGAAGCGCACCCCGCGTTTTCTTCCTCTACCTGCGGGACACCAGCCAGGCCTCGGTTGTGAGCGAGAGCATGCCCTCGAAGAAGCCGGCGGCGCCCAAGCCTCCCAAGGAGGCCGGCGGCGGTGCAAAGCGCGCTAGGCCGGCCGCCGCCGGCGGCGGCGGCGGCAGCAAGAAGAAGAAGGCCGCACCGGCCGGCGACGCCCTCGAGAGCGCCGCCGCGCTCGAAGAGGAGGAGACGAGGCGCGGCGCGGTCGACCCGCGGGCGGGCGGTGTGGTGGTCGTGCTGCACCCGGGCTCGACGCACCTCCGGGTCGGCCTCGCGACCTCCTCCGTCCCGCTCGTTCTGCCCAGCTGTGTCGCCTGGCGCACCACGCAGCCCGCTGGCGACGGAAACGGCGAGGCGGTGGCGGCGGCGGCGGCGGCGGCGGCGGCTACGGCAGCGGCGGTGGCATCGCTGGGAGGCGCTTCCGCGTCGGAGGACGAGGCGGCTCTCGCAGAGGCGGCGCGGCCGATTGCACGGGCGCTTCGCATCGGGTCAACCCTCCTGGGTGGAAGGGCTGCTGCTGTGGAGGCGGGCGCGGGTGCGGAGGCGGCGTCGGCGGCGGAGGCGGCGGCAGCGGCGGAGGCGGCGGAGGCAGCGGCGGAGGCGCGCGGCGAGGGGAGGGCGGCCGGCCTCGGCGCAGGCGACGGAGGCGATGCTCGCCTCCTCGCGGGCAGTGCGCAAGACAGGTCCGAGACAGGTCCGGGACATGTGCACGGACATGTGCACAGGCGAGGGTCGCTTCCTCGTTGGCGAGGCGGCGGAGGCGGCGGCGAGGGCAGATCCTTCCGGGTGGGCGCTCTGCTACCCCTTCCGCCGTGGCGGGCTCCTCCCCGCTGCACGGGTGGAGGGTGTGAAGCGGCGTCTCTTCACAGCTCATCGCGTGAGCAGGCGGGCTCTGCCGCCGCTCCTCGCCAGGCGTGCTACGCGCGGCTGTGGTCACTGTCCAGGACACGTCCATGACATGTCCGAGACATGTCCTGCAGGCGTGCTACGCGCAGCGGTGGTCACTCTCCTCGAGTCTGCCCTCTGCGGCGGCGGCGGCGTCGCCGGCGTCGGCCTCGCGCCCAGCCAGCTGCACGGCTGCTGCGCGGTGCTCGCGCTGCCGGACGGCTTCGCGCGCTGCGATGGCTCGGCCCTGCTGCAGCTGCTGCTGGTCGAGATGGGGATGCGCGCCTGCTTGGTGGCGGAGGAGGCCCGCCCCTCGCTTGCCTCGCCCTCGGGTCTCTGATGACCCTCATCGTCACTGTCGTCGTCTCTCACCGTTGTGTCAGGCCACCCTAGCCTGCCTCGCGCTCGGCCTCTCCTCCGCTTGCGTCGTCCGGCTGGGCGCGTCGCGCGGCGCCGTCGTCTGCGTCGATGAGCTGATCCCGATGCGCCCGGCTGCTCGACGCGGGGCTGCAGGTCCTTGTTTTGTTCCACGATTGCGCCCCTCTCTCCCTTTCTAGGCCCGGGTGCTCGACGCGGCTGCAGTACGGCGGCGACGACGCTGACGCGCTGCTCGCTGCGCTGCTGCGGCGGCACGGCCTGCACGACCGCCTCGCCGAGCTAGCGGCGGAGGCGGAGGCGGAGGCGGGGGGGGCAGGAGGAGGCGGGGCGGGAGGAGGCGGAGGCGGCGGAGGAGGAGGAGGTGGTGGTGGAGGAGGCGGAGGAGGCGGCCGAGCTACGTGCCGAGCTACGTGGGAGGAGGAGGAGGAGAGAGGGTCGGTCGGAGGCGGCAGGCGCGGCGGCGGCGGCGACAGTGGCGGCGGCGACAGTGGCCACGCGCGGCTACGCGAGGCGCGGCCGGTCGAGGGGGAGGGCAGCTTCTTGCTGCAGGCCCGTCCGGTTGCACTGCCGCTGTCTAGCTGATAGGCGAAGGTGGTGAGAGAGGGGTGCTGCCACCTCCGCTTCGAGGCGGCACACGCGCCAAACAGCGCCGTCCTCGCCCTCGCCGACCTCGCGCCGCCCGGCCGCCGCCTTCCTTCGCCGCGCGACGCCGCGGCCCTCGTCCAGCTAGGCTCGCTCCGGCCGCGCGCCCCCCTCTTCCTCCCCCTGTCTTCGCTCTCCCCCTCCCCCTCCCCTCCCTCCCCCTCCCCTCCCTCCCTTCCCCTCCCCTCCCCTCCCTCCCTCCCCTCTCCCTCTCTCTCCCGCCCTCCGCGACGCCGCGTCTTCCTCCCTCCACCCCCCCCTCCCCCCTCCCCTCCCCTCCTCCTCGACGCAGGCTCGCTCGCGTGTCTGCCGCCCCTCCTCTTCTTCGCCCCCGCCGCCACGCGCGCGCTGCAGGCGGCGAGGCGCGCCGCGACCGCCTCCGCCGGCTGGCTTGTCGGCAGGGCGGCGGAGGGGGGCGGCGAGGTTGGCCGCGCGAACGGCGGCCGAGACGCGGCGCGCCCCCCCTCCCCGCCCCCAGACACAGAGGTGGGTGCGACACGGCTCCGCTCTTCTTGTTGCCGAGTCACCGCTCGTCGTTTTGGGACAGGCCCCCCCAGACCAAGAGGACGTGTGGGACGATGCGTATTTGGTCGAGTCCGCAGCGCCGATGCGGGCGCCGCCTGGCTTCCGGCAGCAGCAGATGGCTGCGGCTGCGGCGGCGGCCGCGGCCGCGGCCGAGGCGGGGGGGGATAACAGCGCGGCGGCGGCGGCGGCGGCGGCGGCGGCCCTGACGGCGCCGCCTCCGTTCGCTGTCGATGACGCCGACGCGGGCGGGCGCGAGGCGGGATCTCCGGCGGACAAGCCGTTCGAGCGGCGGAGCGGAAGCAAGCGCGAGGAGCCGATCATGGCGCAGAACTTTGAGCCCGAGATGACTCTGCTCGGGGCGCGCCACCAGAGCGGCACCGCGGCGGAGGAGGAGCTGGGGTACGCGCCGCTCGACGAGGTGATCGTGCGGATGGTGGAGCGAGGCAAGTCCTCGGAGGTGAAGCGGCGGCTCTACGGCGCCGTCGTGCGCGCTCGGCGGCGCCACCTCCACACCCTTTTGGTTCACGGTTGGGCAGCCGGCTTGCTTAGGCGCCATCGTGCTGCTCGGCGGCACAACGCGCACTCGCGGATTCAAGGAGTACCTCGAGTGGCGCCTCTCGAGCTGCTGGCAGCTCGCGCCCGAGTCGACCGAGGGGATCGAGCGGGTCGCCGTGGCGCCGCTGCCGGACGGCATCGAGCCCGACACGGCCGTCTGGCGGGGCGGCGCCAACCTGTCGTACCTCGAGGCGGCGCGCGGGATGTGGGTGCTGCAGGCCGATTGGCTGCGCAAGGGGCCGATGGCGGCGAGGGCCGCCGCGGGTTTTGCGTGGTGAAGCGGCGGGGACGGCGGGGTGCGCCGCCCGCGCTGCGTGGCCGCCTCCCAGCAGAGGCCTCCTCCCAGCAGAGGCGCTTTTCCAGTTTTCCAGTCCACCACATCCTCCGGCCACCCCGGTTCCCCTCTCGTGTCCGTCGACTCTGCGAGCGCGGCAGCAGCGGGGGGGGGGACGCAGTTGCTTGGATCATGGATGCTTGGTGCAGATGGAAGCCGTTGATGAGGCTTGCAGGGAAAGATACAAACAAACAGGCCCTGTTTGCGCCCCCCTCTATTTACATGCAAGCCTCATCGATGTCACGAAGACGAGAGGCCCTCTCTATAGGCTCTACGAGCCGCTCTACGGGTAGAGAGAAAGTAAGGGGAGTCTCTCTGTATACTGTAACCCACCGCCTCCTCGCTCGCCGGGGGAGAGCGTGGCCGGCGGCGGGGAGGCAGGCGTAGAGGAGCATCTAGTGTCGACTCTTTTCGTGACGGCTATGGCAAGCGCTAGGGTGCTGCCTGGGCGGACACGGCGATCGGCGCGGGGGCGAACAGCGGAAAGTCGAAAATGAGCTGCTGCGCCGGAGTGGCCGATGCGAGGAAGCCGGCAGGGTTCCACTCCCCCGGTTTGCCCCAGTTGCCGACACGGATCGGTGCGTTGCTGCCAGGCCCATCGCCGACGACGGTGAATTTCTGTCCTGCTTGGCAGTACTCTGAGGGCGCGCCACCATAGAAGCGGACCGTGGATCCAGCAAAGGGTGAACCCTCGGCAATCACGAGGGCGGGGGTGCCGAACGTGCGAGTGACGGACTCGTCGCCGGAGATTGAGTTTGACGGATCGTCCAGGGGGAGCTCCTCAGCAGCTGAGAAGTCACACGACACAAAGGCGGCTTGGGATTTGAACTCCCACACGCTGAAGGGGCCCCACGCGGGTGGCGGTGGCAAGGGCGGCGCCGACGGAGGTGGCGGCGAGGGCGACGCCGATGGGGGCGGTGGCGTTGGCAGCGCCGACGGAGGTGGCGGCGAGGGCGACGCCGATGGGGGCGGTGGCGTTGGCAGCGCCGACGGAGGTGGCGGCGAGGGCGACGCCGAGGGCGGTGGCGTTGGCAAAGCCGATGGCGGCGGCGTTGGCGACGGCGTTGGAGACGGGTCGACTGGCGTCGACGAAAAGCCGATGACCGTGCACAGCAGGCTCAGCAATACCATGCTTAGCGGCTGTACCTGCGAGCGGGAGTAGGCAGGCGGTGCGAGGCCGAGGGGGGTGCAGCCGCTCGCGCCGCGAGCAAAGGCGCATCGCATGGTAGGGGTGGTGAGGGGGCGGCGGGTTCCGTGAGCAATAGGCGTCGCGGGGGTCTAGGTGTGCAGCTCGCGGCGGCATAGTCGGGCGCAATGCGGCGCGGCAAGCGCGAGCGGACGAGGAAAGTGCATGGTATGCCTCGTGTGGATGTCAGGCAAAGGCCGTCGGGGGAAGGTGGGGTACTATTTTCAATCAAAAAGAGCGCCTTCATCACTACTCTATCGAGGTCTCGCGGAGGCAATTTTTCGTTTTTCACCGACGTGGTTCCATCAATCACGCCTGGTTTAGCCCAGGCTTGATGTCTGTTCTGCCTCTGTGCAGTTGGGAGTTGCCCGAGCTGCACTGACTGGGCCTCCATTCGCGTCCTGATTGCTCTCTGGCGTGAGATTCGAGATAATACTGTAATGTGCGTTGTGAGGAGAGTTTGAGAGAACCAGGCACAATACCCAAGAGCCAAGAGGAGGGTTCCAAGCGAACCAGTTTAGACCAGTTTAGACCACTGCTAAACACGAACCAGATTAGTCCTGTTTACGATAAACTGGGTCTAAACCTGGTATGGCTAATGGGGTTCCTCCCCCCCTCCCCCCCGCGTAGCGCGCACCTCCCTCCCCCCCGCCTAGCTCCCCCGGTCTCGGGCACCGCACCCGTGCTGCCACAAAGCACAATGTGCTGCCACAAAAGAGGAGCATCTAAGTGTCGACTCTTTTCGTGACGGCTATGGCAAGCGCTAGGGTGCTGCCTCGGCGGACACGGCGATCGGCGCGGGGGCGAACAGCGGAAAGTCGAAAATGATCTGCTGGTCCCGAGTGGCCGATGCGAGGAAGCCGGCTGGGTTCCACTCCCCCGGTTTGCCCCAGTTGCCGATACGGATCGGTGCGTTGCTGCCAGGCCCATCGCCGACGACGGTGAATTTCTGTCCTGCTTGGCAGTACTCTGAGGGCGCGCCACCATAGAAGCGGACCGAGAATCCAGCAAAGGCACCCTCGGCAATCACGAGGGCGGGGGTGCCGAACGTGCGAGTGACGGACTCGTCGCCGGAGATTGAGTTTGACGGATCGTCCAGGGGGAGCTCCTCAGCAGCTGAGAAGTCACACGACACAAAGGCGGCTTGGGATTTGAACTCCCACACGCTGAAGGGGCCCCACGCGGGTGGCGGTGGCAAGGGCGGCGCCGACGGAGGTGGGGGCGAGGGCGACGCCGATGGGGGCGGTGGCGTTGGCAGCGCCGACGGAGGTGGCGGCGAGGGCGACGCCGAGGGCGGTGGCGTTGGCAAAGCCGATGGCGGCGGCGTTGGCGACGGCGTTGGAGACGGGTCGACTGGCGTCGACGAAAAGCCGATGACTGTGCACAGCAGGCTCAGCATTGCCATGCTTCTGCTCAGTGTTCAGTTTGAGGTGCCTTCAACGTGCATCAGACACTTTGCGGCGGTTGGTTGGTCCGGGTTTTCTTATTTGAGTATTTGTATGTTGTTCACATAAACGCACAACCCCGGGCCCGAAATCGCAGAGAGACACGTTCTTCACACGGTGCGGCGGCAGTAGCCATTCAGTAGGGTTATTTAGGTGTAGGCGCAGTCGCGGCGCCAGGCAGGCGCCGCTGTGGTTGCCGCAGCGGGAAATTAGCGCCAAGCGGAGCGGCTCGAGGTTTTGTTTGCCACTGACTGACTGAGTTTGCCGTCTGAGCACTTGAGCACTGGATTGGGTCGATTCCGCATAGTACGGGACCCCTCGCCCTCCCTCGCTGGAGTGTGCTCACTGGGGGGGGGGGGGGTCACAACAAACACGGTATAGGAGCGAGGTGCACGCTGCTGAAGCAGTGTCGTCCCCTCTCTCCACCATCTCACTGGGAGATGTCGGCGGTGATGGCGGTGTGACCGATCGAGCTACAAAGAGGAACTTGCCGTCTCAGTGAGCTAACGAACTCGCTATTGCTGTCTTCGCCGCCGATCGCGAGCAGGGCGCGGCTCTGTAAGAATCGGTACCACCTTCGTATAAAGGTAAATTTCTCCAGCCGCTGAGTGCTAGATAGATGCTAGTACTTGTACTAACTAGCCCCATTCATTTCGGTCTTGGTGCGCTGGGCGCAGGCGGTTATTAGTCGTTAGATGCATCGCGCAATGGTGTCGCTCCCCAACCCGCGCTGCTCCTACTGCCTCTCCAGTTCGGCGGGCGCATCACGATTAACGGCCACCCATTATTACGGTCGCCCGCGCGCGACGTCCCCCAATTCGTTGCGCGGATCCCGTGCACATGTGTATGGAAGGCGACCGCGGATCCGCGCCGTTCGTCCGCCGCTCCCGCTCCGCGACAGTGGACGCGCTCGACGTACTGGGCCGAACACTGTCCTTCAACGACAGCTCGACGAGCTTGCACAGCCTTGCGGATGGCACACGCAGCAGCGGCGGGGCATCACGCTCGCCCAGCCTGCTCAGCTCCAGCAGCTTCGGCGGAGCATCACCCCTCCCGGCGCTTGTGAGCGCGGGCTCTCGCAACCCTTCCTTCCTGCGCCTGGAGCCAGCGTCGCCGCTGCGGGCGAGCAGCTCACTATACACGGGCGGCACGGCGGACTCCACCCCCAGCCTGCTCAGCCTCGACAGGCCCGCCGAACGCACTGTACTCGGCGTGAGGCTGTCAGACAGGCCGCTGCTGTCGGACGAGAGCAAGGCGCCCGAGGCGACAGCTCAATCTGCGTCGGACGCGCATGGATCGGACGTGGCCCCGCTGATGACGCCGGCCGTGGTCGCTGCTCTCTCTCTCGCGCAGATGGCGCACTTCTACTCGATGTGCTCCATCTTTGCGTACGCCGGCTTCCTCGCCGCCGACAGCGGATGGGTCGACTCGGAGGACAGCGCCGGGTACGTTGCCGGCCTCCTCGCCACGATGCTTCCGCTCGGCCGGCTCCCCACCTCGGTCCTGTGGGGGCAATACGCCGACCGCGCTGGACGGAGGCCGGCCCTGATCGGCTCCATGCTCGGAATCGCCTTTGGAAACTTGGTCTTTGGCTTCACTACCTCGCTCTGGGGCGCGCTGGCCGTGCGATTTGTCCTCCTCGGGGGCTGCAATGGTTGGAATAGCGTGCTCGGCCCTCTCTGCGCCGAGGTGGGTGGGCCTCGCTCCTCGCGGCTGCTTGGCTTTGTCTTTGGCGCTGGAGGCGTAATCAACCTGCTCGGGCCGGCCATCGGAGGCGCCACCTATGGGCTGCTAGCAGGCTACCCCGCTCTCCTGCCTTCGCTCATCGGCGCCGCGCTTGGCGCCGCCGCGGCCCTCGCGGCGTGGGCGCTCGTGCCGGAGACACTGCCGCCGCTGCCGCCCAAGGCCGACGGTGGGATCGGCGCCGGCGAGCGGTGGCAGCGGTTCGACTCCAGCGATGAAAGCGCGGGTGATGGCGGCGACAGAAGCGAGGGTGCGCTGCTGCGGGCCGCGCTGCGGTCGCCGCCGCTGCCTGCCATCGTGTGGCTGCGCACGGGGATCGGACTCGCGGCCTTTGCCTCGTACGACGTGGTGCCGCTCTGGGCCATCGCATCGGCGCGGGCGGGCGGGCTGGCGCTGGAGGGAGGGCAGCTGGGGGCCCTGCTCTCCTGCGCAGCTGGTGTGCAGCTGCTGTGGACCACGCTGCTGATGGGCAGAGTCTTCGAGCGGGTGGGCGTCTGGGGCTCCTTCATCGGCGCGTGCACCGTCGGCGCCGCCGCGATAGTCAGCCTACCGATCGCGCACGCAGCGGGAGCTCCGCTCGCCGCCATCTCCGTCCTGATCGCCGCCCAATCCGCCGCCCTCAACACGGGCTGCACCGCCTCCGTCGCGCACACCAACAACGCCTGCTGCGCCTATCCCGCACTCTCGGGCGCAATCAACGGCGTCGTGGTGACTGTCGAGTCTGTCGCCAAGGCGGCCGGCCCCTCGATTGGAGCGCCCCTGTTTGCGTTTGCCATCAACGCGCGCCCCGCCGCGGCGGAGCCCCCGAGCGGCGCGCTCCTCGCCTTTGGCGGCCTCGCGGCGTTCGTGCTGCTGCACGCGGCAGGCGCCGCGCTCGCGTTGCCGCGTGGGATCGACGAGCCGCTGGCGCCCGCCTTCAGTCGGTTGAGCTGACGGACATGCATACCACACGAGTCTTGTCGATTCTCGATCCGATAGAGCCGTAGGAATGTGTGTGCTCTATCTGTGCATGTCGCATGTGGTACACTGGACTTTTTTCTCGTGGGCACGATCGTGGATCGAGTCTCTGCACGCGCGGCGCGAACGAGGCCGAGCGTTTTTGATCTCTCGGTAAGTGGGCGCCCGCCCGCCGCCTCTGAGGGGGTCGGGCCCCCTAGACTGAAAACAAAAACAAAGTGTAGAAACCGTCAAAAACAGCCTGCGAGAGCGGCGCTGCGCGCCGCCTAGTCCCTAGAGGACGACGACATCGAGGATGTCATGTTGCGCGATGGCGTCATCCATTTCGTCAAGCCACCTTCATCGTGACCGTCGCCACCCTCGCCACCGTCTCGCCTACGTCGCCGCCGTCGCCATCGTCGGCCTCGCTGCCGAGACGGTGCTGCTGCACGACTCAACTCTCCCACCCCCCTGGCTCCTATGCCGACGTGTCCCGTGCTCCCCCGTCCGCCGATGTCTCTGCTGCCGCCCGGCGGAGCTCTGCAGCGCGGGCTCTCCTCGCCGCCTTCGCTGCCGCTGCATCGCTGTCGGCTCGTCATGTCTGTCTAGGGTCATTGGGGGCGTGCCATCGCTCGTCTCTCTCTCTCCCGGGGTCAGCTCCAAGCTGCCGTGTCGGGACGTCGCCCCCTCGGCTCCCCCCCCCACCCCCCTCCGCTGAACGGTACTGCACATGCTGCGCGTTCTCGCCTTGTGCTTGTCCCAGGAGCCAGGTGCGTGTGTCTAATCGTAGTGGGGGCCCTGGCCCCCCTCTGTTTTCTGTTTTCTGTTTTTCAACACGCCCGCCCGCCCGCCACCCCGAGGCGGCTCGGCCCCCCACTTACCGAGAGATCAAAAACGCTCGGCCCGATCGAATTCGAAAGGAAACGCGAGAAGAGAAGTAAGCGCACATTAGTCGTCAGGGCGCGCCTCGTTGACATTGTCGCTCGGCCCGCCGGACCGTCCGTCCCTCTCCTCCCACCAGGGTGGCGGCAGCTGTCGCCGACCCATCACGTCGCCCGCCCAGCGCTGGTTGACTGACGGGCGGTACTTGAAGTAGTCGACGGGCGTGGGCGCTTGCGGCTGCTGCGGCTGCTGCCGCGGGCGTCGTGGCGGCGGCGGCGGAGGAGAGGAGAGCGAGGAAGGGACCTGCGGCGGAGGCGGGGGCGGAGGCGGAGGCGGAGGCGGAGGCGGAGGCGGAGGCGGCGGCAGCGGCAGCGGCAGCGGTGGCGGTGGCGGCGCCGCCTCCTCCAACGCGCTGCCGGCGCCGGCTGCGTCGGGATCTCCCCAGCCGACGGTGACGCACGCGACTGCGACCGTCATGTGCGCCTCGGCAGGCTCCTCCGCCAGCAAGCCCGCGCGGCTGCTGGCCCGCAGGCCGCCCTGCTCGACGTCGACGCGCACGAGCGTACCGTACGGGAAGCAGGCCGCGACAGCATCCAGGTCGACCGCCTCTGGTTCAGGCACCGCGAGCTGCACGTGCAGCCGCATCGCCTCGTACGAGCCCGGGATGATGGTGCGCACCTGTGCTACCGTCACTGAGTCAGAGTCGCCTCCGGATCTCCTCAACGATCCTCTCTCCTAGCCCAGCACCTTGACGCTGTTCCACTCGATGGCGCTGTTGCACGCTCGCACCGCAGCCTTGGTGCCGTTACCGCCGTGGCAGCATCCGGAGCCAAGCTCGACGAGCGCGACGTGCGTCAGCCCTTTGCTCGTGGCCTGTGCGACCGGCGGGCGGCTGCGGTGTGGTGCCACGGCACGGAGCACGACGGCGCTGCTTGTCGAGAAGAGGAGATGCAGCAAAAGGTGCGGCATATGCTGCGAGCCTTGGAGAGTGGCGACTGCTTGACGACCGAGAGAGCGATCCCGCAGGGTCGCGTGCTCCCGTGCCGGTGGGGGGACCCACCTCCAGCGGGGGCTGTCACGGCTGTGCCAGTCCGCGGTCGAGCCTGCGCCCTGTCGTGCCAGTGCTGTGAGAGAGGCTTGTAAGATATTTTATAAGAAGTGGCCCCGCGAGCTGGGAAGAGGACCGCCGCAAGCGGCGTGGCGTGGAGCGGTTGAGCGTCCCTCCGGGGGCCCCTCTCTCTCTCTGCGCCGGGGAGGCGTTGTTGGAGGCTAGGACGCAAGCGTCCGTCGCCTTTTTCAAACTCGGGGCCCACTCCGCTACGCTCCGACCCGAATGTGGAGGGCCATGAAATTTAAGGTGTTGCTGCGCAAAAGGGGGGCACCGCTCGACATTGGGCTCAACAAGGAAAACAGAGGGTCCCCAGCACTTTGCGTTTCCGGAAATTTCCAGGGAAAACAGAGGGTGTTTGGTGCTCCATTCTGGAAACTCGCGAGTTTCCCTGAGTCTGAGAGCTGGTCTGGGGCAAAATCTGAGGCAAAATTGAGGAAATCGACAAAATACCCAGGCGGGTTGCAGGGTAATTTCCAGGTATACACGGGTTCTCCGCGAAATTCCCGGCATTTTGCCTATTTGGCCTAAAATTTGGCTGATTTGGGTTGCAGCAGCAATTCGGCTGGCAGTACTTTTATCCGCCTCAGTTGCAGCCTCTCAAAAGTTCTCAAGTTGCGGCTCAGTTGCACCCCTGTTGATGTAGCAAACATGGCAGGACTCAGGTAGCCCTCAGGTGCTGCACAGCACCTTGTACAGTGGCAATGAATCCTCACACCAGTGAGCTTGTGCCATGAGTGCAGACCTGTGGTCCATTGCGCTTTGTGCACTGGCGACGCTCGGCTGCAACGGCGACGCTGCAGCGGCGGCGACGCTGCTGCGATGGGGTACTGTAGCCCTTAGCTGCTGGACAGCACCTTGTGCAGTGGCAATGTCCACTGACTCATGGCACCAGCCTTGTGAAAGGAGCGCTGTGGTCAGTTGCGCTTTGTGCGCCGGTGGCGCTGCAGGGGCGACGACGCTGCAGCGGCGACGCTGCTGCGGTGCTGCGCCTGCACAGCACCTTTGTGCACAGTGGCAATGACTCCCGGCACTTGATGTCCTCAAATGTCCACAGAGAGTATACTGGTTGTGCTCAGGTTGTGCTACATCAACACGTGTTTGTTATGACCCCCCCCAATGAACACACCACAGTGAGGGAGGGCGAGACGATCGAGGGGTCCCGTACCATGCGGAATCGACCCTATCCAGCGCTCAAGTGCTCAAGGCTCGGACTGGAGACCAACGCGAATGGGCGGACACGAGAAGGACTGTCTCGCTTAGTGTGGGTAAACGAAAGTAGTACCGTATACGGTACTATCAGAGAAAAGGCCGAAAAAGACGCCGGCGGCCGTCCACGACGAGCCAGCCAGCTGCCGGCTCGCACGGCAGCCTCTCCCTCTCGACCAGCCTCAACTTCCATACAGTCAACATTTTGTCGCTGCGTGCTCGTGGTGAGCTGTGGCGGCGGTCGAAGTTCGCCCAGATTCGGTGACGAGCGCCAGACGATAGTACCGCCTCTGTTCGCCCTGTGCATGTCAGGCCAGGCTGCAGCAGGGCACTACCATCGTGCTGCGCTGTTGCAGCCTGACTTTGCCCACTGTGCACAGTCGCCAGAGCACCACCACCGCCCGGCATCGTGTCACGGCGAGCTCCTTCTGCGCCCGCTCGCGAGGCTCTCGCGCGGGTACACTTTGGCCATCTGCTGCTCGCGTTCGGCGAGCTCATCTCCGCACTCCTGCCACGGTGCCGTCACCACACACCTTCTGGCCGGCCTGAGCCGCGCGGGGTCGCCGGCGGTGGCAACGCGTCGACCTCTCTCTCTGGTGCACCACGGGCCGCAACGGCCTGCTAGCAGCGTGTGCGAGGAGGCAGTGTGCCGGCCGGCACAGTCGAGCCGGAGCATCGGGTTCTTGATGCTTCTGGGGTCAAGTCTGACCTTATGCGGCCTAATATGCAACAATAAGGCTATGCTCTCACAGCCTTTTGAGATATGATCATTAAAGTCGAATTCTCGTTTACTGGTGACCATAGTACCGTTTGTCTTGTTTGCGTTTCTTCAAACGAATCCTTTAAAGTCTCGACAATCACTAAGCTGCTTATGTGGCACCGCAGAGGCTCCCTTGGGGATGCCTGAGGCCACCCCAACCACTCACTAAGCCGTACGTGGACGAATTAAAATCTACGTTTTTCGTTTACCCACACTAAGCGAGTACCGGCTAGAGCTCTATGAAGCCCGCGCTACCCGATTCATCTTGAGCGCGAAATCACTCTCGCGCAGCGGTTGGCTCCTCCCGCGCCGCGCTCCTCCGCTTGGAATGGACCGCTTCCTCAAGAAATCGCCTGGCGGCGCCGCTGCGACGCCGCCGAGCCAGAGCTCCGGGCCCGGCAACAAGCGCGTCCTCGCCAGCTCGGACAGCGACGAGGTGCCGTCCTCAAAAAAGCGAACGCCGTCCGCCCTCAGCTCCGGGCAGCCGTCGCAGTCTCGGGTGCAGCCTGCGCTCACGCACGACGCGCCGGCGGTGCCGATGGCGGCGCTCGGCGAGCAGGCGCGCCAGGTCAGCGACCTCGGCTTCCTGCGCGACAAGCGGGACGCGCAGGGCCGTCGCGAGGGCGATCCGAACTTTGACCCGACGACGATGCTGGTCAAGCTGGCCAAGGGGGAGAAGCTGACGCCGGCGATGGAGCAGTACTGGAACATCAAGAAGGACCACGCCGACATGGTCATCTTCTTCAAGATGGGCAAGTTCTACGAGCTCTTCGAGGAGGACGCGCTGCTCGGTGCAGAGAGACGCACAGAGACGCACACCACCCAAGACGCGTCCCCGACGCGTCCCCGAGAAGAGAAGAGGCACCCCCCGCCGCCCCCCCCCCCCCCCCGCGAGAGGCCGGCAGACCGCGCCCTCGCCCACCGCCAGGCCACCGCGAGCTCGACCTCGCCTTCATGGGAAAGGATGCGCCCCACTGCGGCTTTCCCGAGGCGGCTCTGCCAAAGTATGCCGAGAAGCTGGTGGCGCTCGGGCACAAGGTTGGGGTGGTGGAGCAGATGGAGACGCCCGCGCAGCTCGAGGAGCGGAACAAGAAGCGCAAGGAGGCCGGCCAAAGGGTCGACAAGGCCGTCCGGCGCGAGATCTGCTCCGTGCTCACGCAGGGCACGGCGCCGCCGCAGGGCGCGCAAGCAAAGTACGTGCTGTTCGTGTGCGAGGACCTGCCCTCGAAGACGCTCGGCGTGTGCTTCGTCGACGTCGCCACCGGCTGCGTCTCCCTCGGCCAGTGCCCCGAAGAGGATGGCTGCCAGAAGCTGCGCACCCTCGTCGCGCAGCTGCAGCCCGCAGAGGCTCGCCTCCTAGACTCTCTCCCAGACGCCTCCTACACACCTCCTGCACACCTCCTACACACCTCCCACACACCTCCTGCCTACACACCTCCTACGCACCTCCTGCACACCTCCTGCACACCTCCTGCACACCTCCTAGACTCTCTCCCAGACGCCTCCTAGACTCTCTCCCAGACGCCTCCTACACACCTCCTACACACCTCCTGCACACCTCCTACACACCTCCTGCCTACACACCTCCTACACACCTCCTGCACACCTCCTACACACCTCCTGCACACCTCCTGCACACCTCCTGCACACCTCCTGCACACCTCCTGCACACCTCCTACACACCTCCTACACACCTCCTACACACCTCCTGCACACCTCCTACACACCTCCTGCCTACACACCTCCTACACACCTCCTGCACACCTCCTGCACACCTCCTGCACACCTCCTGCACACCTCCTGCACACCTCCTACACACCTCCTACACACCTCCTGCACACCTCCTACACACCTCCTGCCTACACACCTCCTACACACCTCCTGCACACCTCCTACACACCTCCTGCACACCTCCTGCACACCTCCTGCACACCTCCTGCACACCTCCTGCACACCTCCTAGACGCCTCCTAGACGCCCCTAGACGCCCCCTAGACGCCCCCTAGACACTTCCTAGACAGCTGCAGCCCGCAGAGGACGCTCCTCGACGGCGAGCACGCGCACACGTGCACCCGCCGCTCACCTTGGAGCATGAGCTCTGGGTGAGGGGTCGAGTAGGCGATCCTCGACGGCGAGTCGACCAGCCGCGAGGCGCGCGCGCTGCTGCAGCAGGCCGTCGCCTCCACCGCGGTCCTCGGGGACGGGCGGTACGGCGGCGCGGCCTTCGCGCGCAAGGCTCTCGACGAGGGCGGGTACTTTGGCGGCGGCGCGGCGGGCGGCGCGGGCGGCGGCGCGGCGGGAGAGTGGCCAGCGGCGCTCCAGGCGGCGGCGGCCTTCTCGCTGTCTCGGAGGTACGAGAGCAGGCTGAGCTCATGCCTCCCGGTCAGCCTGCAGGCGGCGGCGGCGCTCTCCCCTCCCGTCGCGTTCGGCGCGTTTGGCGGCTGCCTGCGCTACCTCCAGCGCACACTGCTCGACAGGCAGCTGCTGCCGCGCGCGGAGTTCGCGCAGTGGTTCCCGACAGACGGGGAGGGGGGCGAGGGGGCGGCGACCCTCGTGGTCGACGGCAAGACGCTGCAAAACCTCGAGGTGTTCGCAAACTCGACCGACGGAGGCACTAAGGGCACGCTCTTCGCGGCGATCGACCGCACCTGCACCCCATTTGGCAAGCGCGAGCTACGCCGGTGGGTGTGCGCGCCGCCGCAGCGCGTGGAAGACGTCGTCGAGCGGCAGGAGAGACACTTCCTAGACACTTCCTAGACACTTCCTAGACACTTCCTAGACACTTTCTAGACACTTCCTAGACACTTCCTAGACACTTTCTAGACACTTTCCAGACGTCGTCGAGCGGCAGGAGAGCGCCCCCCGTCCCCCCTTCCC